CATAAATATAATTAATTATCTAATTTTTGTCCTAATAACCTGTAGCATTTCGAGGACAAATCGAAAAAATTTAAAAATTAGAGGTCATTTCGTGATTTTTATCTATCGAGGAAACTTTATTGTTTTATGTTTCTGATTAGTATCTATGCCTGAATATATCGTGTAGTTACTCATACAATATTTTATTTTTAACTTTAAAGTGGATATACCCCTCTAAAGTCAAATCGAAGATTAGGAATTATTCCTCTGCTCCCTCTTAAGTCAAAGACAAAGTCAAATTCTAATAATCATTTATTCCATAGGTAAAATTTTTACACTAAATTGAAAACGTAATTTTTTAAGCTACTGCTCGTTCACTACGCTGACCTCCCTTAGAAGAACGAACAAGAAACTTTAGGGATTGCTCTTATCAAATAAACCTTAAACGCTATGGCTATAGACTCATGTTGTTTTTCCATACATCTTTATCTAACACGTAGTTTTCAATTTTGTAATATGAGTTTTCAATTAAAGTACTTTTAATGTAAGTTTTAAACTTAAGAAATGATAGTCTTAATATATGCTCCGAAATCTTAATGAAAAAACCTACACAGTTCCCCGTAAAAGAATCATTTACCTTAGTTAAACGAAATCGTGGTACCATGAGTTTGGACTTAGTTCTAAGGTTAATATTGTGGATATCTTCTTTCTTAATGAAATTATGTATATTTTTATGGGCATACAAAATATATTATTATCTGTACGTATGTACACATTTTCATATACGATCATCATAGTTATTATTACTAGATATTTATAATACATTTATTTTATCAATGTGTTTTTATTTGAAACACTTCAATTAGAATATATTCTTTGGTTGCATTCTTTTTTCCAGCTCTTAAATTTCTATCCTAATATTGTCTAGAAGAAATTGCTATTAAGCAATTAGATTGCCTTTTGTCGTGTTGTACATTACACGTAATGTAAGTAGCCTCTGAGTTTTCATTGTAATTTTAAATGTGCAACAAAAAATATTTCATTAATTTTTGCCGTCAAGCAGTAATGTCCAAGCTGTAATGTGAGCATTACTGCGTTTCGGTTTTGAAGGTTAATGGTGCTGGTGAAATTACAGACACATCTCTCTAGGTGACGGGAGCAGTAGCAGAGACAGTCGTGTCTCTTACCACCAGGAGCACGATTTGTTTGTCACTTGGTATAAAAAAGCTCTAAACAACAGCTTCATGGTGTGTTTTAAATGTCTTTAGGGGTGGGCGTCTGTTCTCCCTGTGCAACACGGACTGCGCTTGCGTGGACGCAGCGTACGCGCCGGTGTGCGGCGCAGACGGCGTCGTGTACTACTCGCCGTGTCACGCCGGCTGCCAGACGCGCTCGCTGGCCGGCGCCGCACAGCTGTTCCACCAATGCTCCTGCGTCAACAAGGAGAATATTACGTTGCCTAGCTATAATGTCGGGGAAGGTTGGTATCGGTGCAGGTTCGAATCCGGAATCGTACCTCTAGTTTCTAGAAATTTATTTATATGAGCTTTTCGATGAAGGAAAACATGCACCGCGATGAAACCTCGCCGAAGAAGGTTCACAACACTCGGACAACTTTTCGATTTTTTTCCCAAATAATGTTTGATCGAATTTTCATTACACCGAAAACCGAATTACAACGAAACCGTTGTTCTTTCAGGATATGTTGGATGTTTATCGCAAAGACACGATTAGGTTAAGTTAGATTGAAAAGAAATGACATTTTCCTCTCAAAATTACTTTCGAGGTTACGAAAATTCGAGCAAACGTCATTTCTGGAAAATGTAATTTCGAACTACTGATAGGTAACCATGACATCCCAAACCCGCATTGGACCAGTCTGGCTGACTATGGTCCAAACCCTCGCTAGAAAGGAGACCCGTGTCCAGTGGTACACAAAGCAGTTTGGGTTGATCTAACCGCATATCACAAGAACTATTTCAGAACTTGAGCAACTTTTTTAATCAATTAATTCAAAACCACCAGGAACAAATGCCTCGATCCCTTACGAAGCTATCAACAGCGTCTGTCCATCGGGATGTCCGTATCTGTGGCTGTTCGTGGGCCTCTCTTTCTGCGTAATGCTGTTCACCTTTATTGCAACCATGCCGGCACTGTCTGCCACGCTCAGGTATGTCGTTCTTTTACGAAAAATGGTACGCGATTGTCTAAAAAAGCCCATTCATGTCGAGGCCTCGGCTGCATGAAGTTGATTACGACGTTGATTACGTATTAACTGCAATATGCAGTCAATCTGTTAGCAACCTGCGAACTTGACTTGCGCTCAATTTCGAATTTTTTTACAGGTGCGTTCGGGAAGACCAGCGCTCGTTCGCCTTGGGCATCCAGTGGATCAAAGTCCGTCTCCTAGGGACGATTCCTGCTCCATTACTGTTCGGATTCCTTATCGATCTCTCTTGCTCGCTTTGGGACACAAGTTGCAACACGACGGGTGCTTGTCTCTTGTATGACAACGTTAACATGGCGAGGTCAGTAAACTTTGCAGTAATTTCATTCTCGAAAATTCTCGATCGGCGTATACAGGTTGATAAAAAAAAGCACTGGCCATTTATTTCCTGTGCATAAGATTCAGTAATAATAAAATAAATAATAAAGTTTCCCCATTTTTTTATGTTAATATTTCCCAACAATTTAGTTTAGTTAGTGTAGTTACCTCAAAATAGTAAATAAAACTGAGCGATCGACGCCGAAGTTATCTAGGTGTCAGCACGTGTGTTTTTCATTTCCATTACAGTATGCTCCATTAAAATGGTCAGCGGTTTTTTATCGCTCTGTATAACACCGCCGATGTCCTAATATGCCTGACCTATTAGCCGACCTTTTGTTATGAGAGCCTTCTTACGCATTTTTGGCTGTTTGAATTCTGTATTTAAGTAATAATACGTTAAAGTCATTCACCAATGAGGCTAGAAAGAAGTCAAACCAAAATAAATTTTACGCTTCACAGCATTGACTTACAATTATATGGACGTCGGGTCCGCGCTAAAAAGTGTCCGAACTTATAGGGCGTTAAAATCGTATACAGAGCGTCATTCACGCTTTAGTCTTCGTTTGTTCGACTGACAGCGCAGCAAGCAAAATTAGACAGTACTGCGATGACATTACAATTTAAATTCAACGTTTTAGCTTTTTCATATTCCTTTACATGTCACTACGTTTAAATAGGTTGACTTGGGACATTTTTTTCGTGGTTTTTGTATTAGTCCCGTCGTCCATTTATTTACACGTCAATGCCTCACAGGTTCAGTTTAAGTTTGTTAACAAAACCAAAAGGTCGGTAAGAGGGTTGGGTATTATAGGGCAACTCATCAACTGTACCTATCGAACACCTAGAAAAAAAAACGTTGGTTCGAATCCAACTGGATCGATGTGAAAATTTTTAAGTGTTTTAATCTTTCTTTTATAATTATAACAAATTCGTTCAGTATTTTGACAATAATTATAACTTTTTTGTGAAAAAAAAAAATTCTAATGGAATTACATCTATTTGCCATGTCTTATTAAGATCAGTTAACGGAAAGTGGGTGACATCCCATGAACCGGATTCATCCCCTAATTCGCCATCATTAGAAATGTAATATTTTCTTCAAATTTGAATGAGACCCACTTTTCAACAAAAAAGAACCATCGAAATAGGTTCACAAACGTCGGAGTGATCGCATAATGTACATACGTAAAATAGTACAGTATGTAGAGCATCCTCCTGGTAGTAAAACGTCATGGTATTCAATAGAAAATTAATATTAAAACATTCAGTGTTAACTGGTCATACGTTTACATCCCTTTACAAAAGTGTTTCTTTTCAGGTACATGTTAGCCTTAGCTCTAGTGGGCAAACTGTGTTCAGTATTATTCTTCTTCCTCGCATGGTGGTTCTACCGGCCACCTGGAGGCAAGACCAATGCTGTGGTACCATCGGTAGACCTGGTACTATCGAGTGAGAAAACTAATGGTAACGGTATGAGTAACGGAGGAGCCAATGGATATTGTAACGCTGCTCTTGAATGCAGTGATCACTTGTAAGACTCGTATATTATTGTATAAGTAGATACATTTTGTACTGACTGTCCGTCTGAAATAGACTCAGGATTAGTTGATACAAATAGAGCTCATAATTGTGTTTAAGCGTTTTTTACCTGAAAGTACGCATTGCATATAGGCTACGTAAGTGTTCAAGACAATACATGTTGGAAATCTAGTTGAACCAATCGTTACTTCATCAGTAGTATATTTGGGCACAGATTTTTACATTCCGTTTGGACCGGTTTTTATTGAACCATTACTTTAGGAGAGTGCGCAACAAAAATATCAGAGCATGTTTAAAACTGTCTTTTCAAAGAAACGAAGACTAGGTATGTAAATAAATCCATTATGTACCTAATGTTAACTGATACCTAACTATTCAAAAGTTTAATAGCAGCTATTTCAGGGACGTAAACATTTTGTAAAGTTTTTACAATATTCATTCCTGTCACGTAAACACATTTGTAAAAAATGTAAACCTTAGAACACATGAAGTTACGTAGTACATTCAGAGTCAAGGTTGTCAAAGGGCGCTTTCAAATTAGACGTTTAAAGATGCCACAGCACCACTACCGTCTAATTTGAAAGCACCCTTAAGGTGATTTTCCACCGGCAGCGGCGAGGCGAGACGAGACGAGGCAAGACGAGACGAGGCGAGACGTGGATTGAAATTTGGTATGACAAAATTTCAATTCTCTCCTAGCCCATCTTCGGTGGAAACGGTCTAGATTGACGAGGATGGCCGAGGACAGAAGTGAAATATTTGTTGATGTAATATTGAACCGTATTGCTGCCAACATAGAGTATGTATTATACTTTTTAACGGAAACACGATTTCCCGCACGGTCTCCCGCGAGCTAACTACCGCCCCGCGACGGAGCGCGAAGCTCCGTTTTTGGTTGTCAGTTTGTATGGAAAACACGCGCCGTCGATCACACTGACAACGCTGCTCCGGTTTTACCGTGCACCCGCGCGGAGGTGCGGCGAACCGCAGGGTATGGCACACTGCGCACCGCACTACCGCGCAGATTTTTAATCAATTTGTGCCTATTCCAGTAATTGTCGTTCGGATTTTCCTTAACAAATAATCAAAGGATTCAGTTGACATACGTGTTTAGTTGAAAAATTAATCTTCATATTTTCTTAAATCTTTGTAATGAAGTTGAATGTTACCTTCGGTGTCTTTTTATTTGAGTAAACAAAAACTAAATAGACAGTATAACTGCAGCGTCCTGAATGAGTTCTGTATTATTAAGTATTCTTGTCAAAGAAGGATCTCAGTTACATGTACAATCATTACGGCGATCAACTTCAAAACAAGCACTTTAAGTGGCGCGGGACCGCTAGACCGCTGCCCCCGCGCAGATTAAACCGCGCGTTGACGCAGATCTGCGTTTCCGTCACTGCGCGCGTGACTCCGCGTCCGGCACACCGTCGCGGGGCGCGGTGCAGTGTGTTAATCGCCTAATTACAGGTTTCTTACCACGGTTTGATTTATTTTTATTACCTGTAATAAGAAACCTGGAACTAACTTGACGACGGATGACACGAAAGTTTCTAATCTATAGTGCAATAGAATGTTTTTATTCAGCTTTTCGTTTTAAACAAAAAGGACGTGCTATCACATCTTTGCAGAGCTTTGTAGATATAAGCGTTCGAATACCTATTATCTAAGATAGGCAACCAATATTTACGTAAAGAATATTTTTACAAGGAACAACATAAAGCTAGTCCTTGGACATAAGAACATGTCGTACGAACGTACTGAATTTCATAATAACAATATTTAATTTCAAAAGCAAATAAAACATTCCAATATATATAATTTAAAATAAAATAAATGTTGTAAAATATCTGTGATGTTGTAGTTTTTAAATAATTAAGGTCAGGTAATAAGATTAATTTCAACTTCCACGGAAACGTCGTGTTTGTTTACAAAAATGTATCTTGATTGTAAATTGTGTTGTCCAATTTAAAGGGATTATTCACTAATCATGTTGTATGACGAAAGAGATGATAATACCTACTCGTATATGATATAGGTACTCCAGCTACGGTCTTCACAAACTTTATAGATTTCTGAACGTAAATGGGGGATTTATTATATATTAGATACGCCTAATTTGCGTGTGGTGGGTGGGTGCAGTGTCCTACTCGTGCCACTCAAGATCATTCAAGAATCTGAAGCCTTGTACGTTTATTGAGTTCTGGTAACACCCTTGGCACTCCAAGGTATTTGTCTCTGTAGTTGGCCACGTTGGATGTGAGCGCCTATTTCCTCTCCCTCCATGCATGCTCTGCATAGAGGGCTGTCCGTGATACCCAAATTGAAAAGATGTTTATTTGAACTATGACCCGTTAGGGCGGCAGTTAAAATGCGCATCGCAACACAAGATAGACGCCGAATGGGTTGTCAAGGTGTTATTGTGAATTGTTTTTGTACCTTTGTGTATAGTTTCTCTTGGCAACATTATAGTTTCTAGTCCTACAGCGTCCATCTCCGACCCTCTTCTGGCCAGTTCATTTGCTGGGTCATTGGCGCGTGAGTCGCTGTGTCATTTGATCCACTGTAGAGTTACGTGATTACACATACATACCTACGTGAGTGCTTGGTGGCATTGTTAATGGTAACTCCGTACAAACGTAGCAGCGTGACTCGTACGTGTGCACGTCCGCTGAGCCATCGGCTTAAAAAGGTTACTTGTAGGTACAACTTACACAATAATGTGACAACCATATTCTCATAGCGTACTTACGTAAGTAGCCTACTTGCTCTAATTATGATATTTTAGTGTTCTATGTTCAATAATATTCACAGAAGTTTGTGGACACCGATGTCGAAAACGGGAGTTCATAAAAAAAAACACTGTATTCTTATAAATTAAGTAAATTAATGTCTTATTTATTTCTATTTTTTAATTTCATCGTAAAGTTATTATAAATAAATAAATAACGCACACACTCAACATAGCCCCACACTAGGGAAACCCTGTGTCGCGGGTGCCATGGACACACACATAGACACACACAAATTACACCCAAACTCACGAGAGAAATAATTGTAGGTCATACAAATATTTCTCCCGGCCCGGGAATCGAACCTGGGACCTCTGCATGGCAGTCTGGCATGGTAACCGTTCGGCCACGGAGACAGTTAAGTTAACATACTTTTATTACACGTGTGAGAAATTTGTTTAACTTCCGTACTAATTTCTCATATTAGATTTATGTATAATACAAGTAGGTATGTCCATCTCTTTCTGTCGATCAACATGTTGAATGGATTTTTTCCTGCATGAAAAATATTAATAATACACGAATATTCGATGTCATGTTATATCCAGAAAAATATGCCTAATCACGCTCAAACTAGTTGTAGAATAATTTAATAATATTATGTATTACCGTGAAATAGAGTACAATATTAGTAAAGGCGCAATTTTATATTTATTATATTTCCAATTAGCGTTTTTTAATAAATGTTATTAGGCTTAGGAAATCACCTTATTTATGTCGCTTTGGTACTTTTCGCCATATCATCAATAAGTAGACTTAATTAATTGTTCTTACAAGAATAATTGCTACACCGTAATAGACCGTACCTACCTGCTATAATACAACCAAGAACACATTTGTGTGTTCTTTTTTAAAGTCAAATATTTCCATAACAAAAAATTATCATAAATACTTTATTTATTTATTTGCCTTACTTTAAAAAGGTCATTGGGTAACATACTTTCCGGTTGTTTTAACGAATTTATAAACTATAATTTGTCGCAAACAACCGAATATACTTGTGGGAATATACAGGGTGGAGAAAAATCAATGGGATATTAAAGGGAATTGCCTTTAATGCTTCAAATTAAATTATAACGTGTCTCTTACTTGTTAAAAATAAACAGTCTTGGTTGGGTAATGTTATAATGAGATTTCTTATGCACTAAACAGATTTGATGGAAATCTTTTATTGTAAGACCTAATGTTTATGGGAGATATTTTATCCTTATCTTCCTATTGATTAGTACAATAAAAGAGTGTTTATTTATTGCATATTCATTGGTTCGATTCCCAGCTCAAGTAAGATTTTCAAATAAACTGAATGCAGTTATTCCTATTAAGAAAAATACAAGAATGTTTCCTTTAAGTAAATTTAGCTATCTCAAGCATTTTCCCTTCATGTTCCATTGATTTTTTTCACCCTGTATGCGTGTTTACACAGAGTCGACTGTTGCCTTCGGCAAGTTACATCGCTTTGTTGAAGTAGATGCAGTCGGCTCACTGTTCATACCGAGTCGGCCGCCACTTCTTAAGCAAGCGAATTTGGCTGACGAAAATGGTGCATTTGTCACGCTGTTTACATCGAGTCGACTGCCACCTTCGTCGAAATTACCAAGTCATGCTAAATACAAGTTTACGCACAAAGTGTGTCTCTGTCACAAATCTTTCGAAACGTTCAACAAACTCATGGGGTGGTGGGATGTGGACTAGCTCAAGTTTACACATAGTAGACTCGGTCGACTACGATAACAAACTACGGTTATCAAACGACTCAGTATTTACACTGTGTAACTTGCTATCTTGACTTGACCTGTCGACCCAGTGTAAACGCGCCATAATTCTTCATGTGATCGATACCATAATATTATTTATCCCTATTACAATTGTAATTTTTGTAAACGATATGTACCTTGGTCAATTATTGTAAATAAACATTTACACTACACCTACCGTAGTGACATAGATTTAGTGTATTTCTTTTATGTAACTAGAGATGTTATTATAAGTGTACAGTGGTGTACAGAAGTTTTTAACTTATTATATGTTGAATTTTGCGAGTTAGTTGTAAGTGTATTTTGGTTGAAGACTGATCGTTTATTGTTAGCACGTAAGAGAAGTTTTTCTTGCACAAACAAAAACCTGAAACCACAAATTGTAAAATATCTTTAAGGAGACTGAGATAATCATTAATTTGTCTCCATTACCATATGAATACTATTAAAATTATTAATTGAAAAGATTCATTTTGATTTGAAAGGTAATGTTTAAAATGACGATATTTTTAAAAACCACTACCGCTTATAGTTTTGGTATTAGGTCGATTAGGTAATGTGGTTTGTGGCAATTGAGTAACTACCTTTTTAAAAAAAATCTCAGCATACAATTTCTAAAAAGGCTGTAGTATATCACTGTTGTAGAGTAGAGCCGTGTATCACTGTAATTAACAAAAAAAAAAAAGAATTTTCAAATGGCTATATCAAAGCTAAAATTATCACAATCAAGTATTAAGTGTAGGTGCAATTTTATAAGAATCCATCACTTTTAACGTTTTATACTTAATATTATTGTTTTATTAGAATTTGTAAAGTTGTGTAAGGTGATCAATTCGGTGATTGTACAATTTTACACGTATTTCAATGAAATAAATTATATATAAAAAGGTTTTGTTTTCATTTTGTTTGTGACTGTAATTCTGCAGGTTAATAAAACGCACACTCAGATAAAAACTTTGTTGGCCGACAGATGTATTTAGTTCTCCTTCCATCATAAGAATCGGAATCCGTTTCAGAATTTCGAAGTGAGATAAACTATACATATCATGGACTTATCACACACGTACAGTATCGTGGTGGCTTGTGCATTTGGAATTCCGTTCAAAAAAAAAGCCGTTCCAAATCATAAATAAATTTAGTATTTCCAAATGCAAGTCTTCCATAGATTTTGTAGGGCCGCAACACAGACTAAAATTCCGTACGTATTTTCGCTGCGAGAACATCTAGTGTGTGATGTAGGTAGGTACATATGGAATCTCGAATCGATATTCAGTAACGGAGTTTCGAAATGGAATTCCGACTGTATGTGGTCGGACTAACAAAGTTTTTGTTGTCATGGAACTACCTATTACAGATCACTTTGTTTGTCCCATCATTAGATATTTTAGTAGCTATAGAACTCCCTGTGAAAGAATTCCTACCTTCGTAGAAATTACTGCAGCTATACCTACAAATAAATTAAACTACAGTTTGAGCGCGCGAGCGAAAAAATACCGGCGGCGCGAGCGCGGCTATGACACGAATTTGTATAACGGTGTTTGTTTTTACAAAAACCGTAATACAAATACTGTTTCAAAGGAAAAAATAAAATAACGTCTTTTCTCTATAGATTACTATTATTTATTTATTATATTATATATATAATATTATTATAATCTTAATATATATATTATTATATATTAAGATTACTATTAATCTAATTTGTATCACTTCTATCAGGCGCTCCGATCATACGCAAGCGAATGCTTCCATATTGTATACCTATGCGTAGTGAAAATGGAGACGCCAGAAATTAACAAATTAATATTTATACGAAACATCTTCGAATATAAAGTAACTAAGTTTTATTGTACAAATGTCAATTTCTGGCGTCGCCACTTTCTCCGCATACCAATACGAAGCTCAGACACGAGACAATACAGAAAAGTTATTTTTCTTCATGATCCGGCCGAGGATCGAACCCGGGACCTCAGAGATGGAGACGCCATAAATCATTTAAAAATATAAAAACAATTATTCTGTTTAATCGTATCTACTAAAGTTTTGCAAAATTGTCTCAAGTCGTATGCACCATGCTAGGGCAGTGACCCCGCCACCCACTTCACCGAGCGATAAGTAATCTTTCTCGATCGCTTATTTACCTATTTTTTAAATTATGATTATGTACTAGTATTGTTATAATTTACTATTTATTTACATTAATTACAAAAGTTGACTGAAAAAAGTTTTTTTGTAACTTACATTTGGTACTTACTAACTTTAGGTTACATGAAAGTATTGCTAGAAGTACCTAGCTCCACAGCTCCGTACCGGAGCCACCACCAGCTGTGCAGAGATTCGCACGTGAGTTTCGTTTCAACATTAGACTCCACAACTTTCAAAGCAGAAACCTCGACACTCTTATCCTCCGCGTAAACAAAATGGTTTCACATCAAGCATGGATTACCATGCAGGTCCTGGTGCACCTTTTTGTTTATATACCAAACCATGTGCCATTTCGTGACAGACTAGAATAGAATGTATGTGGGATGTCAGCGTGACGTAGACGCAGTACGGGTAGCAAGTATATACCTAAGTATTTCTGCCACCAAACAGTAATGTGAGCACTACTGCTTTTCGGTTTTTAAGGGTAAAGATGAAACTACAGACCCAAAGGAACTTGTCAATTTATGTCTCAGGGTGACAGGCACAGTGGCAGTGTCCCTCAGGTCTTTGCTATTGAAAGCTCCGGGTGGCATGGTAACTAGGCTGTTATGCGTTACAATCAAGGCGAGGTATTTCAACTCGAGCCTAGATTTTAGGTGAGGTGGGTGGGTCGCTTAATATGAATAAAATAAGAACAAGCGGAGAAAATTTGACACAGATCTGACGTTGACAAGCGCCCGTTGGCGACTGACGGAGCAGCGGGTGGCACAGCGTGTAGTTAAACCGCTGGTAGATTTGCAAATTTTGTGACAAATACTAATTTAATAACTATTATTTTTATTACTTTAACTGCCTCCGCGGCCGAACGGTTACATTTATTTCTCTCGTGAGTTTGGGTGTAATTTGTGGTTGTCTATGTGTGTGTCCATGGCACCCGCGACACAGGGTTTCCCTAGTGCGGGGCTATGTTGAGTGTGAGCGTTATTATTAATATTTATTTAGCAGGATCTCTGTAGTTCCTATAAAAAAGAGAAATATCTCCATATAAAAATTATGTGTAAAGTTAGGTAGGTATTTCATTCTTAAATAATTCGTGTTAGATTGTTATTTAGCGTGTTTTCAGGATTTTATATGATCATATAAAGTACATCCTATCGTGTAACACATTCTTTAAGCAATATCCTTAGGTGTGTCGTATATATTTTTTGTAAGATCGTCATTCAATAGTAAATACCCAAACTGTTAAATCTAGCAAAACGGTTTTCCCAACTTCTCCTCCAGTGATTCATCCTCTTTTTAACACTAAAGAGGCTTTATTTATTAAGAGGTAAGTACCTATTTAGAACGATAATTTCATAATTTAACCATTAGCATTTTTAATGCAACAGTGCCAAATTACGTCAAATAAACACAAACACTTCGTCCTCAAAACAATGTAAGAAATTAAAACAACTTTGAAAAATACTCAGTTATATATTTCAACGTTAAAAATACGTATAACTTAACAAAATGCATTCAACATTTTTATATCGAAAATAATGTACTTACAATAACTTGATTATTTATAATATACTTATTTGCTATTTAGAAAAAAAAAACATTGCAGAAAAATCTAATAGGTATTTTGAATGAAATATCTAGAAGAGGTATTTGAATTTAGGCATGGATGCCACGATGCCACGCATTGGAGGCAAGTACAATTACACTAAAGAGTCAAGAGTATATCTAATGGTAAGACCATAGGAAACATGCTTGACCATAGAAAATCCGCTTGGCCATAGGAAACCCATTTGGCCATAGAAAATGCGCCTGGCCACAGGCAACGCGCTTAGCCATAAGAAACTGGTTTGGCCATAGGAAACCTGTTTGGCCAAAGGAAACGCGCTTTACAGGTGACATTGCTGACCCTCTAAAGAGACGGTGAGATGTAAACTTTCTTCAGCAGCCATGTTTCATCACAAGGTTAACATGTTTACATAACTTAGAAATCAAAGTCATAGATATATGTTGCTGCTAGATTGAAACTGTGGACTTCTCATTTGAGAAGCAACCGTTCTCCCAGTGCTACCACCGCTCTCGTCTCGCTCCAGTCTTGTTACTTTATAGTTAAACAAAAATTAAATTAAACAAACCCTTGCAGCCGACTTGAACATACCGCCCCTTTAGTTCCTTTCATTTTAAATGAATCTTCTAAGTAGCAAACAAGTGCCATTGAGATTGTTATAAGCTAAAAGAACTTGACGCCCTGGTTCTCGTCAAAGTCCATCACCTCACAGCGACCCTTTTTCTCAAGAGACTTCAGCGCCTTTAGCAGCACACTCATGTCGAGGCCGTGGAATTCTGAAATTATTAGGAAGTTTATTAAATAGACTTATTTCTAACAATTGAAGAAGTCTAGTCTACAAAATTAAAATTTTGTTTAGTATTCCAAAATAACCAGATATTTAAATAAAAGAATATCTGTTATAGTGTTATATTTAGCGTTATCAGGCGTCTAGACAAAGCTGTACATAGCAAGGCTTTTTGGAATTCGTATCCGGCCAATTACACAGTGTCCAGCTTGTCCGGCTTTTGTTAGGCTTTTTATATCCGACCAAGTTTTGTTTTGTATTATTTAATTTTATTGTTACTGCATTAGAATTTAAGATTCATGGTTTTACATTATAATAAATGTTGAACTAACTACTACGTAATACGCCAGTGTACGGTCTCGTTACCCAAATGTCTGGCTAACATGACTGGTTCTAAAACATGGTAACCCTAAATATGTTTATTATGAATATAGTTGCGGTATAGTTTTTAATGTAATAAAAGTTAAGTTGATAGTCATTTGTACCTACCTTCATCAACAGTACTGTCACCTTCCCTTAATTCGAAAAGAGTACAGACAGAATTATTCATTCCATTATTACACACCCAGTTATAAATCATATTGCCCCATTCGTCTAATGAGTGCCAGTATATTTCCCACACATTTTTACTCTTGTCGATGGGCGCGGCTCTCCCCGTTCGCGCCATTTCTTCTAGAATAGTTAAAATGGCTTCTTGTGACAACTTTCTATTAATCTCTGTATTGTTAAATAGAGCACTGTTTTGTGATTCTCTTATGTCTATGGTGGATTGCTTTGTCGCCTTCATGTACTCAGCTATAAGTTGTTGCCAAGCTTCTAATTGTTTTGCTCTTGTTTCTGAATGTGGTTGGATTCTGTAACAATAGATAAATATGTTAAAATATCTTTTGAACAAATTTAATTTAATACAACCTGTGAGTATCTTGGTGCACATGTCATTGTATACTAACAGGTTAACAAACAAAGGAGTTTTTTTTTTCTCTAGGTGGTGGACAGCAAAAAAGCACAATACAAACATAATGCTGTTAGGATCATAACTTTATTTTCTATTTTTTTTCTATATTTTACTGCTTACATTGGTAACTTTGTAAAATATTAGCACTACATATTTTAAACATTTGAGCAAAATAACCAGTTTGCCACAGAAAATACTTACACTCAATTATTTTTTAAAGAAAACTGATATGCTTCTGATAAATATCAATCAGTTTAAATTCAGTTTTCTGCCTTTTCTCTAATGTCTTCATGGTTTTTGGTTCTAGATCTGTGACAGACACTTTATATGGTATTTTAGACTCTCCGATTTGAATAGTGTGATATCCTTCAATGAAATTTGAACTAAAGCTCATCATCAATGAACAGTCTTTTACTACTGATGATATCATTGCTAAATATTTTGAATCACACAGTTCTATGAACTTCTCTGTGTCGGTTTTCCGACTTAGATCCAAGTTTTCCATTTTTATTAGCTGAAGTATGGACAATATGTAGTCTAGGTTGCCTTCATTGTTCGATGAAGAACAAAATGAAAACTTTTCTGACAGTTTTTGTAAGTCCAACAGTTTGTATAGCAGTGTATTGTTATTCAATTGATTTTCCTCTAAACACTTTGTTCTTTCTTTGTTTATTACTTGTATTTCTGTAGTGTCTCGTATTATGGAATTTGTAGTTTCGTTATTGTTCAGTAGCATTTCGGCTATGAAGTCAATAAAAAGGTTTGTAGAGCCACCAAAAAGTGTCATGTTTTGAACTATATGTTCAAATTCATTTAATGAGTTTTTGTCGCTATATATTATGTTCCCATCTTTGAAAATCTTGAAGTTGTTCTGTGGATTACTCACTAAACTTAATAAAGCATGTCTCATTCTCATTTTGTCCCCAGAAAATAAATTCAAAGGGCAATATTCACTTATGTTGTCAATTTGACCATTTTGCAATTTTAAAAACTGTTTCAAACAGAAGTAACATTTCGAAAACTTCCTAAAGCTTGCTGCAATAAATCCTTCTTTAGGTTTAATCTCGATGCAGTAATTTGTTTCACATTTAGGGCTGAGAATTGATAGATCTTGTGCTCTAATTGTGTAACAACTTATTTTCGATTCGGTTTTCCGGTATCCTGGACGACAGCTTGACAATTTGACACTGATACCTTTAATCTCCTCAGCAGAAAGCACGTTAAGCTCTTGTAAAACGCAACAATCGCTGATTAGTAAAGGAAACATGACTTTATTTACAAAATCAACTGACAATTGTATGCTTTTCAAATCTGCTTCTGTCTCACCTTCCTTGATGAGACGTAAAACGTGGGCGGTACCCATGATTTTAAGAACGATATGTTTATTGCCTTCGTTGATATACCTCCAAGGTTTTCTTAGTAAATCCATATTTACGGACGCTAACTTAAGCCTAATTTTCTTATGACCAAAAAATGGATTTACTTACGTAAAAAAGGGAGGGAACTTGTACTGCCAAGGCCACGTAATGTCTGCCATAATTAACACTACTTTCCCTGCCTAATTGCTCTTTCAATTAAGAAAAAATATAATATTTCGCTTTTTCTTTAGCTACCAGCTGATTACTCAGCCATTTGACATTGACGTATATGAATTATGATTATGGAACGGTTTTCGAATGAGTAATGAAAATTAGAGTAGTTCATTCACAATGTGACTGTGTGTATTGAGTAAAACTATTTTTATATTTATTGAACCAATGATCTTTACATGTTTTGCGAATTTTACTATTGCTACCATTGACTTACAAATATATTGTAAGTCAATGATTGCTACGTAAAGAAGAACAATTTACCTGTAATGAAAAGTGATGTATTGTGTGTACATAATTATGTTTATCAAATAAAACACGTTTGTTCATAAATATGATATTTATGTTGAGTAGGTCAAAAAAGCAAGAAAAAGAAAAACTAGATTTAAAATGATGATGATGAAATGGACAACACGGGAAAAAATAGCTCCAGCGTTTTCGTTCAGTAATTTCAACTTTTGACACGCGTTAGCGTTAATATGAAAAAACATAACAATAATATAGGAATAATATCAAATATGAAAATTTTTTCACGACCCAACATTATGCTGGTGAACTTATTTTTTATTTTAGAGCTGTATGGAGTGAACATATTATTTCTCGTAATTTTGTCTATGGTTTTTGATGTTTTGAGTTTTTGACAAATGTGACAGATCGAGCAACCGATACAGACAATCTTTCCCACATTTTGGCTTTTTCTCAAAAGAAATCGCTGTTACTTCCACATAAATAAATTTTTGCTATGTTAATAGCGTTGTAGATACAACTAGAATAGTTTTTACCATGATTACACTCAATAGGAAGTTGAAAAAGGAACATACGGAGCCGCCGAATGGTGTTAGCGCGGAACCTTGTAGAAGAATATCTGTGAGAGACAAATTACTAGTGAAAGAAGTGCAAGAGATGACTGAGAACCTTCCCACGACGTGCAGTGTTAGTTTCGATGACCCAAACATGTTAAATGATTTTGTATTAACGGTGGCTCCAGACGAAGGTTACTGGCAAGGGGGCAAATTTAAATTCAATATTTTCGTCACAGAAGACTACAATATGGCAGTAAGTAGACTATTTCTCTGTTCCTAAACAATGCAAGGAGCTCAAACAATTATAAAAGGCGCAATTTTTTAATAATCCATGGAGCCATTCTGCAAAATCTAAACGCAAATATTGTTTATGATATTAGTGTGAAGATGGTGTAAGGGGGCTTCCACATTAAACGCTTATAGAAGCACTGCAGTGGCACCACTGTGGGGCTGTAGCTACACACTACTAATTTTCATACAATATTTAAAAGCGAAGTTGCAGTGCCACTGTTGTAAGATGCACGCGCCACTTTTGCAGTCACAATTAAATAAATAAATAAATAAAAATAGCCTTTATTCACGGATTACTTCTAAATTAATTCTAAGTTTAATCTAACGCTTACTTCTAACAGTAATAATTCTTAATTCTAACATCAGAATAGGTTCTGGTTGCCCTCTGACATAGGTCTCCTCCATATTTCTCCATAAGCAACGGAATTGTGCCGACCGGCGCCGAGAATGGCGCTTGTTGTCTTTCCATCTCTTGGATACCAATGTGTCACACCTTATGTCCACTTTTCTTTTCTTGATCTTACCGTGTGTCCACACCAGCGCCACTTCAGTCTTTTGATTTTTTCACAATTAGTGAACTAAAAATTACTGAAGCACTATAAACATAGGGCTGCCGCTATACAGTTGCACCATTGCAGTGCTTCTACAAGCATCAAAATACCTTCAAGATACCGCCAGAAGGTGTTTGTGTGTCCACTTTACAATTCTTGAAGCTTATTTACTTGTGAAGTGTAAACACAATTATTCACTATTATTTCCAGCCACCCAAAGTAAAATGCATGACCCGCTTGTGGCACCCAAATATCAATGTGGATGGAGACATCTGTCTGTCTTTGCTGCGGCAGACTTCCATAGATGAGCATGGTTGGGCACCAACGAGGAAACTTAAAGATGTTGTGTGGGGACTTAATTCATTATTTACTGTAAGTAATTAATCTTTTTCTTTTTTTTTTTTTTCAATTTTTTGGCCTGAAATGTTCAGGCGTGTATATCTTATAAATGTGTGCATTGTTATCTGTGTTTGGAAAGAACAAGATACAAGCAGCAAATTAAAAGTTCAGAGAAAAATCGCTTTAAAAATACCCCACATGAGAATCCCGTAGGACATTATACTATGGAAGTAACTAAAGTAAACTAGTCTAGCAGTACTAACATCGGTAAGCTCTCGTATTCTGCAGACTGCTTATGCAGCGGAGCTTAATCTGCTGGCCAGGGAAGATATATGTGGAAACCATTGAAGTTTACTATCTAAGGTCACTCCCAAGAAGACTGCTTTATTAACAAGGTCTAACTTTTCTCCGTTTATTTCTATGCTTGGACTAGTTGATTTTATGTTAGGTAATTCAAATTTAACACATTTTGTCTTCTTGCCATTAAGTAATAAATTGTAAGCATTAAACCCAATAATTAAACCAATAAACTACCTTAGAGAGGGTATCATTAATATGGTCATAGTTAATGTCATGTCTGTCTGTTTTAAAAATCAAGGATGTGTCATCAGCAAACAACACTATTTCGAAATGGTCCTTAACAAAGAATCATTAATATAAACCAGAAATAAGAAAGGTCCAAGTATTGAGATCAGGAACACCTATTTTTATCGGAGAACCCAAAGAAGTCACTCCATTTATGTCTACTTTCTGAATTGTACCGTTGAGATATGACGAGACAAGTTTCGACGCCTTGCCATTTACACTGTAATGTTCCAGCTTCCTAATAAGAGTAATATGATCAACGCAATCAAATGCCTTTGAGAGGTCACAGAAAATACCAATAGCGTTCTGGGACCTTTCCCAGGCATCAAAGATGTGTTTTAGTAATGCTACCCCCGCATCGCTAGTCGATCTACCACTAGTAAACCCGTATTGTTCACTATGAAAAATATGATTCCTACCGAAGTAGGACAGTAATTGAGTCAGCATAACCTTTTCGAATATTTTACTTAAAACTGGTAAAATTGAAATGGGCCTATAGTTGCTAGGATTAACTTTCCTACCGCTTTTGAATAAGGGAATAACCTTGCTGTATTTCATTAAATCGGGAAAAACACCTTCGTCAACACACCTATTGAAAGCTACAGCTAAATGTGGGGAAATAACTGAGTCTATAACTTTAGTTGGTATGCCCCAGAGATCTTCAGTTTTTTTTAACATGTGTTGATTTAAAAGCTTTTATGATGTCTTGTGGATTAACATGACGGAAATTAAATAAACTGCCAAAAACATAAATGACACGGGCGCAATTAAAGTCACAAATAGTACCACCAAAAATATACCTGACACATGGTTTCACCTTTCTACAAGGCATCCGCAGGGATTGTTGATTGTGCAATGCTCGGCCGAAGATTGAGCTTGCTTTTGTCGGTTGGTCATACTTATGAATAGTTATTATGACACTCCTGGTACTCATAATTCTTTTTAATATAAAATAAACAACATGACCTTACATGCGTGTCTAGATAATAAAATCTAAAAAATAAATAAACTATGTTTCCAACTTTTACTAATGCAACTGAGAGCAAAATCTGTTAAGATTCACAATTTGAATAGAAATTTTGTGCATTTTTTTAAAATTTGTTGTTTTGTGTTGACTAATTCCATGAACCTAATTTTTCAGGATCTCTTAAACTTCGAAGATCCGCTCAACATAGAAGCAGCAGAAATGTACAAAAAGAACAAAACGGAGTTCCAAATCAAGGTACAGGAATACATTGCCAGCGCCGGCTCCAAGGGCAAAAGATGAAAATTGTGATAACACTAAGTCATTTTACGTAGCTCTTTTACTTCATGTTATTTTTGTCGTAATATTTTTTAGGGAAAGTTTAAATACTCTCAAAGTGATATACGCGTATATGAAAACGATTATGAATTGATAGATAGAGTATATTCAATAGCTTGAAACACTGCAGCTATTTTACACAGAGACCTAGTTACAGCTTTGTGACTACCTATGATAAAATAATAATTTCTAGATGCGTCAAATTGATTTGCCACCTGTTGGATGTGGAGGTAGCACAAACTTATTTTTTGTACTTGCAACTGGAATGTCTTAAGCCAAATAATTATGATGCCATTTCAAAGTCTCCTATAGTGTGTGTTTTTTGAAGATGGAGTAAAATGAAGTGTTGCCCGCCTGCTATCAGATAGTGGTTGCAGTCGATGAATACTCTTATCGACTAAATGTAGGTTACGTTTATGCAATAAATTGGCGAACTTGTTTAATTTGATATAGAGTTCTTAGGTTTTCGCGATTGTTACACATAGGAAATGAAACTATTTTTCCGGATTTCAATGTATACTCCGGACTTCAAATGTATACTTGAATCCGGATTTCAAATGTATACTTGTTGACTCAACAGTGGCCATGGGATCTGCAAAGGGCCCGAAACGTTGGTTTGTTTGAAAAAACAAATATACACGATTTAAATCCGGAAAAATAATTTCATTTCCTATAGTTTAATGTTATTTGAATCATCGTTGGCCCATAATTCCTCCAACTAACACAGGTTCATCTGAACCATCATGCGAATATCCGCATCCGCATCAGCATTCAAATTCATTGATGCGGATGTTCATTGCGGATGTTTTATACGCCACATGACCTAAAAGGCAGGTGAGCTGTTGTTTTTAAAATATAACTTCGATAAAATTCCACAACAATTAAGCTTGACCGATTGATCGTTTTCATGAACTCTGATTCTTTTATTATAATAAAATCATTGAAATGATACTTTATTACAATACCAAAGAAAATAGAAATCTTTTTCATGTAGATTTCAGTAACAATGTAAATTTTCCGCGTTTTTTAAATACATAAAATCTGCTGTGTAATCACTGCATCAGTGACAACCCTGGTTCATATATACATACACTGCATCAAAATATAAAGTGGAGACATATTTTAAAGATTTTTATTTTAATTCGACATAGATAAAGAAATCCGTTAGTTCTTATTAAAATGTGTATTTATTTCGATGTAAAACTAAAGAACGTCTTAACACTAAATATTCAGATATTTTTGGCAAAATTTTACCTTTTTTTCACAAGCTATCGATAAAACTGTCAACAACAACTACATAACAATTTAAAAATTTAAGAAATCTGGCAACCCTGCAAATGTCAATTTACTCCGTCTTTAAAAAAGACAGACTATAACCGCTTCATAAAAAAATTGCCATGTAATTAGTTCATCTGTTATTAAAATCTATCAATTCGTGTATATTATTGTCGTGTATAGGATTACGGTTTTATTTTTACATGGGATTGCAATTTAAATCTACTTCATAATGTTATTTCCAATAATATGATATTTACAATTTTGTCAATGAATAAATTAAAATTAGCTATTAGTATGCCTGGCCAAATAATTGTGCTTGTTTTGTGTGTTTTTTTAAATTGTAACAATTAAATAAACATGGTAAGATATTGTTGTATAACTTTGTTGTATTACAATAATTGGTATAGTTCTCCTTGAACCAAGCAATAAATCAATTTACTGTATATTAATTATTACGATTATCTTTTATTCAAGTACTATGTCAAATTTTAATGGTACATATCGCTGCTTCTTACAGATTTTACAACAACATATTATACATACCTATATATTAAATTTACATTACTGCGGAATGGAATGGAAACGGAATTTGTAACGAAATTGTACATAGCATAATGATCTTTATGGCAATTATGTAACGTACAAATTAGATACGATACGGCAGCTGCGGGAATTCCCGAAACTGCGCGAGAACTTTCCTGAAGTCACGCGATCTGTATTTAGTTCGTATCTTATTTTAAAGTGCGCATTTGATTCTCTCACGTGATGGAAAGTGACATGACGTGAAAAAATGCCTATTCACTCTCGCCTTGAAAAGGCCCAAGTTATACCGTTCAGTCTGCAGACAGTGAATACTCCATAGCTGTTTGCCTTATAAATGTGGAAGCGGAACACTTCGTGCGTATCCTAGGAATATCACAGCATAGGGGTGGAAGGAACCCCCGCTCACATCTGGTTCTCTGATGATGGAAAGGGGAAGGTGCAATTAAATCTTGCAACGTCCGTATGTAGTTTTTGTACGCTACAGAATTGACATAAAGCTCATTAAGCTTTACTTACAAACATTCGTTTCCGGTCCCTTACGCAGTAAACTGAGTTGTAAAGTTTTTAAATCGCAGTAATATATATATCAGTCACTGTTGTATCAGAAATTGTATATAATAATAGCACCAATGCCAAAGCTTCAGTAGATATTGGCATGTTAAAAATGTAAAGTTGTTGTTGCGTGTTTTTCTCGAAAAATTATATGGTCATAACGACTTTGATCCTTAGTCAATTACAGACTATGAAATAAAACAAAGTAATAAAATCAATGCTCATTTATTAAGCGTTCTTAATACTGGAGCATCATATACTAATTAGTATAAATTGTAATAAATAGTAAAAATTGTATAGAATAAATAAATAAATAGATACTTAACAATATAACAAAGTTTCGTAACAAAATTTGTTTTATGACTAGATTTCGCGCGGTCAGAGAAACTGTACACGTTATTTTATAAAAATTGTGTTTGTTGTGAACGGGACACTTGGTTCGATCCAATTTCAACTTTCTATGAATATTTCACTTTAATTTTTTCATCTTTCTCAGTCTTATTATCGCTACTCGCTCCGGTATTCCAATTACTTGTTCTCTGCACCTTAATCGTACGCTTATTTACATGTGGAACGTCACTACGATCCGAGCGTCTCTAGCTACACCAAGTGTCCAGATGTGGCTTTGCAACTCCAAAAGTAAACAAGGCTTCGGAAATCTCCGCTAATTTGTCAATCCACTCGAGTGTCACAAATAAACAAATTTCGGGATCCGAACGCCCCGCCCCTATCGGAGTTAGAAAACCGCGGTGAAGCTGCAGGGCGTGTGTTAGTGCGTGGCAAAAGTGGTGAGCAGTTCGTCCTGCACGGAGTTGGACCGCGCGAGGCGGCGCGCCTGCCCGAAGGCCGCGCCGGCCGTGTCCGCCGAAGACGCTTCGGCCGCCTTGCGCTCGTGGTACGAGTCGGAGAATTCCTGCACACAGACGGGATACCGTTAGCTGCTGAATGTGTCAGACAATCTCTGTAAACTTCCCAGACAGGGATAACGTTATTATTATAATTATTATTATAGTACATTGTGTGTTAATAAGAAATTACGAACGCGACTTAGAAGCCCGAAGTCGAAGACTGAGGGCTTTCGGAGTCGAGGCGCGTAATTCCCACACCGCCCGTGAAACATATAATGTTTTTCATCACACTTGCATGTAAATAGTATGATTGCGTGCAGGTTAACTTGACTATAATACTCCAAATAAAACCCCTCGTGCCTTTTTTCTTCTCATTACAGCCTTCGACCCGGACGGATCTATTGTAGCTACTTGAGTAATATCATCCTGCTAAAACTAACTATTTTAATTAAAAGGAAATTTATATATTTATATAGTTACAGTGACTGGTTCTTGGTGGAGTTATTTCGATTGGAAGAATCTTTCAACAGGCTGAAAGTATGTGCGCCAGAAAGATATATGAATGAGTTACCTTGAGTTAGTTCGATTGGAAGAATCTTTCAACAGGCTGAAATTATATGCGCCAGATTGATATACATACATGAATGAGATACCTTGTGTTGTTCGATTGATAGAATCTTTCAACAGGCTGAAAGTATGTGCGCTAGAATGATATACATATATGAATGAGATACCTGAGTTAGTTCGATCGGAAGAATCTTTCAACAGGCTGAAAGTATGTGCGCTAAAATGATATACATATATGAATGAGATGCCTTGAATTAGTTCGATTGGAAGAATCTTTCAACAAGCTGAAAGTATGTGCGCCAGAATTGTATACATATATGAATGAGATACCTTTCAGGTTCGATTCCCGGGCCGGGCGAAATATTTGTATGACCTACATTTATTTCTCTCGTGAGTTTGGGTGTAATTTGTGGTTGTCTATGTGTGTGTCCATGGCACCCGCGACACATGGTTTCCCTAGTGCGGGGCTATGTTGAGTGTGTGCGTTATTATTATTATTATTATTATTATTATTACCTTGAGCCTATTGCCGAGGAAGACAGCGCGCTCGCGCTTCCTGTTCATGAAGTCTGACTGCTGCAGCCAGCGGTGCTCGTAGCACTCCTCGGCCGACGGCCGCTTAAGGGGCACTTTCTTGAATAGGAACATCACGAACCGTGTCGCCTCCTGCAACAGACGATGGGTTTAAATTAAATGCGTCCACGACATGTAATAGTGGGCCATATCTATATTAGAAAAAGACATCACATTTAAAATAATTCAAGATAGATCTGCCCTGCGATTGCGGGTCTAAAAAAGAAGATTATCGATAACGTCGTACGTGTAGGAAGAGCTGGAATTTGATGCAAAAGCACACCTGTGTGATTTCCTTGTACAGATGCTCAAATCGGTATCTCACGAAGGAGATGTTCTGTTTGGTCTCGATGTCGTCAGCGCCGCGGAAGGGTGATACACCAGACAGCATGATGTAGGTGAGTACTCCCAGAGACCAGATATCTGTCTGCGGGAAAGCTGGCTCGTCGTTTATTATTTCAGGTGCTGAGAACAAAGAGTTTTCTCTATAACAGTCGTCAACATCATCCACAAGAACAAATCTCACAGAGAGTTTACCCACTTGTACTTACCCACTTGTGGATCGAACTACACAGGAAGCATTCTCAATTGTCACGTATTTTCTAGCAAGTGAAAAAGTAATTCCTACTCACCTTTGTATTCTAAGTCGCCGACTTGAGGAACACTAGTTCCGAGCTTGGTTACTTTATGCGCTGACCCAAAGTCAATTAGCTTAACTTGGATGGAGCGAACTGAAGCCATCACTACGTTATCAGGCTGGAGATCCAAGTGACAGTATCCTCGCCAGTGTAGGTATTGAAGACCGTCAAGGATCTGTGTAACTATTGTAGATACCATTTGTTCAGTGTAGTCGTGACGTGATGACAAGTATGTGAGGATATCAGCGCCTTGCAGTTTCTCTAGAATTAATCCAGCGACTGGGTTTCCTGGTGTATGATAGGCTGCTAGTAAATTAGATATTCTCTCGTGTCTAAGCCTTCTTAAGCACTCAAATTCTCTTTGAATCTGGACTTCTGTGTCTGATCGGTTTTCTAATAATTTGGCTACTATGACGTTGTCAGTGTTCTTGTCAATGCCTTTAACAACAATGGAGAATTTGCCGCGCCATAATTCTGATATGAAGCTGTAACGTTGCTGAAGGTTGTCCGACGAATCCCAGTCAATCGGGCTGTTTTCTGTCGCGTAGTTCAGTTTTGGTTTTTCTTCATCTAAGATAACTTCCTGGCCAGACTCTGTGATTTGTTGAAGATGCCTCATGGCCTTAGTCACCTGGATCTTGGGTGCTCCAGATTCTTTGGTCTTGATTAAATTTGTTGGGACGCCCTTGTCGCTCCAGCCAATTCTATTACGCGAGGAGAGGCGGAACTGGTAGCTGGTGTCAGGTCGAAGGTTGCCAACTAAATAGAATTCATGATCGATGTTATTGGCGACGTCCTTCCATTCGATGCTGTCGCCTTCCTTATACTGCAAGCTGTAGCAGATCACAGGTGAATTTCCATCGTATTTTGGCTGCTTCCATCTTAGGAGTACTTCGGTGTCAGATACTTCAGAAGCTGTAGGACTGTCGGGAGCATCAGGGTTGGTAGCTTCGACTACTCTGGTGCGGGCGACGGTCTGTCCGACTGAATTGCGAGCCACGACCTTGTAATAACCGACGTCGTGGTGCATGGCAGGGTCGAACTTGAGCGAGGAGCGACCTTCCTCATCCTCGATGATCTTAATGCGTTGGCCTTCGGCAATAACCATGTCGTTCTTGAACCATTGGATAATAGGTTTCGGGTCGCCAACGGCATAACAGGATAGCTGAGCGGGTTCTCCTTCCCTGATGGGGAGGGTCTGTGGCTTTTCACGCATGAAGGGCATTTGACCATCTTTCTTGGATTCCATGAAGGCCTGGGCTTCTGCGTAGGAGTCAAGACGAGTTCCAAGCTCGTGCCTGAGGCGGCGGATGGTGTAACTCTCGGTGCCGTAGTTGTTGATGCGATCGCGTTGCTCGTCATCGATCTCTTCGTCCATTATGTCTGTGAAGCGACGACGTTCGCGGATGATCGGCGTCTGTGGATCGAATTTGAACATTTTAATTTCATAAACAAAATATTACACTTTCAAAAAGCTTCACATTGAAAAAGATATCGCAACTTACCCTTGGATCGTAAGCATCCTTAACGCTCAAATTGTAAGCAGGAGAGCGATGGCAGGCGACTTTCATATACTCGCGCAGGCGCACTGGAAAGTCCGTATCACGTAATTGCAGCAAGTACGTGTCTGGTCCATTCTGGTAACTGTAATTAAATAAAGTATGATCATAACACTGCCTTGAGAGGTATATTGTGGCAATATCGAATATCCGATATCGTATATCTTAGAAACTATTAATCGATATTACTCCGCATGTATCCATGAATATATAGTTTCAGAAAATATATAGTTTCGAAATCCGATTTCGAATATCGATATACAGGTGTACATTTGAGACAGGGCAGCAAGACCAGCCACCTTCGTCGTTGAAGTTACAGGAAAACGGTTCTAGAAGACTATCCATGAATTTTGAAGATATTTTGATTGGCATTCACAGATTTTGAAAAAATGGTACCGATAAGAGGCAATTTTTACAAAACTTTTTTTTATGCCATTCGATCCGGTCTGTTAAGGATCAATAGTCTCTATGGGACCAACTGAGGTAAGAGTACTCGAAATGTCAGAAATCGCAAAAAACTTTTTGCCATACATTTAGTAGGGACATGATATCATCATCAGAAAGTCATATCTTATGATTAAAAAATGGAGTAATATTGTAGAAGAGGTCACTGTAAATATAATAAATGCCATCGTGTACGTACTGGCTCTCGGACTTGGCAGAGACCTCCCAGTCAGGGTGCTCCCACTGCTTGAACTTAAGGTCCCATGGGCTGGCGTGGCGTTCGCGGGAGTCTCGGTGAGGAGTACCCTCCGGGGTATAAATTTCGCCGGGCGGGTACACCATCTTGGAGGGATGCTCAAAGGCACCGCTAAGAGGACGGCGACGGAACCAGTTGCGGCATTGGGCGTTGCTTGTCCAGTCCCTGAACAGAATATATGTGTTTTAAAATTATCCCTGGCAAATAGACTATATCCATTGAAATTTTGTTTATTCGCACATTTATTCATTTGATTTTTGCCAATGAATATCGTCGTAATAAGTAATTATTAGCTGCAACCTCTTGCAAGGATCAAAACTACTGACCTGTACAGATTGTAATAGTTCCTCAACCTATCGGTGGTGATCAAGTATTCGTCGTGGTAAATCTTGTCCGCCAAATTGAGCCAGGGATGCGACAACGCCGCATTAACGTCCATGCGATCCATCCAGCTGAGCTTCAAAAGCTTCGAGATGAAGTCCCTCGATTCGGTACTGAGGCGGGACCACCATTCTTCGTCGTGCCATTCCCATTTGCCTTCACGGATCTTGGTTAGAGTTTCGCGGTCATTGGCCCCGCGGAAGGGAGAGTGTCCACTTAGCAAGATGTACGTGATAATGCCGACGCTCCACATGTCAGCGCCGAAGGTGACGCCTTCGCCGTTGGCCACTTCGGGCGCGACAAACTCGGGCATGCCGTAGTCGAGTGCGGCATGCTTGTTGAAGTGGATGCGACGCGACAAACCGAAGTCGCAGATCTTAAGTTCATCGCTGCCGGCGTGCGACAGAAGCAGTTCGCCGATCTAACAGGGAGTAAATTAGTAAATGTTTAAAGTAAAATTTGTATATACTTTATTATGTAATGATTTAACTTTGTCATATTTCTGCTTTTTAAAATTTTGCTATACCCGTCTAGGTTCATGTACTGGTATCTATCGGTCGATTCTCGACAATTTTTGGTTAGAGCTGACTGGAAATGTTTTAGTATAAATTTGGTTCCGAACAAAAAACTCAGTCAGCCATCTACCAACCAACGATTAGGTACGGCATTGACCTACTGGTAGAAACATTTCAATATACGAAGACCTGACAAGAGAATTTGTGATGCCGACATGTTTCCTGTGAAATGACAAGCCAAAAAATCGATAATGTTAATTGAAGCATTGGGTGATAAAAGGGCGTATCAAGTAAAAATGAGATTCGAGAAAATTGAAAATACAGGTTTAATGTCTTATATCTTTTTAATATTTATAATATGACTCTTAATGGGTTCGTTCGTTTTATTATTGGTTTTTAAGAAAATAAATTATGAATCAGTCTTATTTAAAAGTTACATTGAAAAAAAAAATTGTTTTAAGCATTCATTAAATTAGCTGGAATTAAATTAATCGACAGTATCATTTTCAGCAGGTCTCACTGGCCTCCTAGATGCTCCATGTTGAGGATGAGGTCGCTCGTTTCCAAAATTCAAACATACATTTATAATCTATGCTACAAGGGGAGAGCGTCACCTTCTAAATGAATGAAAATTACGCCATCTAGAAGGGAGATCGAAATGAGTTTTTGTCACAAGATAGTGTTTTGATGCAGAAACATCAAAACGGGCTTTTGGTGCCAAACGCCCTTCTTGTTCCCAATGCTTCAATTGTGAATATTTGACAGAAGTACCTGTTCGTTTTTGTAATTAGAAGAAGCGTTTGTTTTTGTAATTTCGTCATCGCTGCACCCACCACGCCGGCAAAGTGGACTCCACCACTCGACGACTATTCATTAAATTGTCACATAGCACTCACCGTGAGGCCAAGATGGGCGACGCTGTTGTCGTGCATGTGCTTGAGGCCTCTGAGCAGCTGCCTGACGTAGCCGGCGATCTCCCTCTCCGAGTAGCCCTGGCTCCGCAGCAGCCGGTCGCGCACCAGCTCCCCGCCCGCCGCCAGCTCCGTGACCAGGGCGAGCGTGTGCTCGTGCTCGTACGCGTCGTGCAGGCGGATGAGGTGGCGGTCGTTGAGCATGTTCATCATTTCCATCTCGTTCTTCATGAACGGCTTCAGTTCGGAGTGGCCGTGCATGATCTTTGCGGCGTAGTTGCGACCTGGATGTCAAATTTTAACAAATTCTAGTAACAGGATGTGAACGTCATTCGTCATCATCGTCCTTATGTCTAACGCAAGCTTCGCCACACTGGCCCAATGCGGGTTCGAAGTCAAACTAACACGGTTTCCAAGGGTTATGTACCTTCTTTTTATATGTAAATTTGTCTCGATGTTTTCACTGTTAAGGAGAGGTATTGTTACTAAACACTCGCTAACGTTACGTTATTTAGAAATTAAAGTAATAAACCTCTCAATTCAGAAGCAACCGTTCTCCCGCTAAGTTACCTACCGCAGAAAATAATTTCTATAGTAATTTATACATTGAAAAACTGCCTCTTTAATATTTGTTGGTACAAGATACTGTAGTATATGTGTAGTATATTGAACATCGGGAGGTAATTATGTCTCGAAGGCAATTTCGGTTACCTGAAAGTCTTTCAGCGGCGTGGTAGACGACGCCCTGCACCCCTCGGCCCAGCTCGTCGCCGAGGTCGTAGAAGTCCCCGAAGGGCTTCGTGCTCGGCTTCACGCGCGGCGGGTGCTCACGGATCCTACGGCGACCGAAAATTAGGAAACTCTTGTATATTGACAACAAAAGTACATTGATTTAAACTTTTCACGATTTTCACGCATTATTTAATTTAAAATAATCGTTTTTAATCGCGTGTAAATACGTATAATACCTGAGAAGAATTACACTGTAAGTGCTTTTTTGTAATTTTACAGGGGACGCGATTTTGTGTCGAAATGCTGCATGTAGTAGAACAATTAGAATGGCTCGAAATAAAACTAGAGTTTTAATAACATTTCGAGCTACCCTAATTGAACAAACTGCTTTTCGACACAAAACGCTTCCCCCGTAAGATTACAAAAATGACGCTTACAGTGTAGGTAATACTTCTCAGGTACGGAATATATTTTGTTTACCTCGACATTTCGGACGTGTTGCAACGTCCACGGTCTCGAAGGGACTGAAGAGGCGGGTGTCGACATCTTCTAGCCGTGCGATTTTTTCAAACTGGGTAGTGGTCTAGCACGTGATCTTCATTATTTATTTTTGCACTAGGGTTATCACTATATCGACACAATATCCTGAGTGCTAAGATGTTGACATCCGTCTTTTCGCATTTGCAGAAACTGTATAACCTTTTATGTAAAGTTGTTTCACGGTAGTAATATAATAATAAGGCACACACTCAACATAGCCCCACACTAGGGAAACCCTGTGTCGCGGGTGCCATGAACACACACATAGACAACCACAAATTACACCCAAACTCACGAGAGAAATAAATGTAGGCCATACAAATATTTCTCCCGGCCCGGGAATCCAACCTGGGACCTCTGCGTGGCAGTCCAGCATGGTAACCGTTCGGGTGGCCTCCGTGGGGAGGCAGGTAAAATCCGCCTCCGTGAATTTGTGAAGACGATGTCATTGTGAGCGACCATTTTGTTTTTGTTTTCAGTATTTTATAGAGTCTACATTTTCATGAAAGTGCAGGTCGTTTGACTGACAGTATTAAATTGTTGCAAGCTACGTTGCAAGTAAAAAAGTCTCTGTTCAGAATTAATAGCATCGCCTGTAGGTATAAGTGTATCCACCTGATGGAATAGTCGTGCTCCGTCTCCTCGACGTGCAGCATAGCGGAGGAGCTGACGGCGCCGGCAACGTTGCGTGCTGAGACTGAGTACAGGCCTTCGTCTTTGAGGATCACGTCATTGATCACCAGCACTGTCGTGTCAGGCTCGATGAACTGGATCTGTACCAATATGTAATTTTACTTTGCTTCACTGTCCAATATATACAATAACAAACACAAAAGTCTTGATAGATATGATATGCTTTCATGCCATTACGCCGCTCTGTTTTCACTCGTAAACTACGGGAACGTACATCCACGCAAACACTAAAGGCTAATAAATAACTTATGGGCCACAGCTACACTCTAACTACAGTTAATTGTCAAAAACGATTGCTCAAAAATGTACATTACGTCATTTACGTACATCTGAAAAGAACTATATAGGTACCTTGATCCTGGAGCTGGATGTAAGTGGTTGCCAGTCCTTGTACCACTTGATCTCGGGGAAGGGTATACCAGTGACTCTAGCCTCCATTCTGACAGATCTCCTTTGCAATGCGATGGTCTCTTCAGGGCGCTTTATGAAGGTGGGGTACTCTGCGAGTTCAAGGCGCACGCGTTGTCGAGCTTGTCCGTGCTCGTTGGTGGCTACGGCTTCGTACCAGCCCGCGTCGCGATCCAGCATCCTGGATTAAGAGTGGTTTTATTGGTCTAGCGTAAAGCCGGGGTTTCACTATACGAGTACGCTCGGACCGAGTGCGCTCGTACGAGTTAGATCGTATAGGAGTCCACTCGGATTTCGGTTTACACCATAGGTACATTTCCTTGAAGAATCAGGGTGAAGAAGACTGATCTGGTACTGCGAGGTGGAGGACTTGCAGCAGATATATTAATGGCTGAAGTACAAACTCGTGAAAGGGAAAAAACAAAGCAAGAGAAAAATTTGGACCAGAAAATGGATTTTAAGATATGACTAAGAGTCCTTCAAAATAATTTTATCGGCGAAGTGGGAAGAAAGATAAAAAAATGTTTAAAACCCTTTACTGTCAATTATATGATCCGAGTATACTCGTAAGAATAGAACCGCGTCCGAGTCCACTCTGATCGGATACCGGTGTCCGAGTGCGCTCGGAATACGTGTTTACACGTAACGTCCGAGTAACCATCCAAGTAGACTCGGTCCAAACGTACTCAAATAGTGAAAACCCGACTTAAGAGTTGTAATGGTTTGGTCTTGTCTGTTCTTTCGAGATTTTACGTTACTTTTTGAATCAAGCTGATTAAACCTTGGAAGGAGCTTCACAAAACTACACGGACAATTTCTGAAGAAACACTCACTTGTTAATGAACAGCGTAGCCTGACCGTTTCTGGTGTAGCTCCAGTCGTATCTACCTCCGATCTCAATAGGCTCATCGTTGAAGAAGTAAGTCATCTTCGGCTTAGGATAGCCGTACACGAACCAGAAGAGATTAACGTTATGCCCTTTCACGCCGTATTGGGAATCGTGCTCTTGACGAAGGAACTTTGGCGCTTGCGCGTAACCGTCGTGAGGTGGGCGTTCAATGTCGAAGTCCTTCGGGAAGTATGGGGATGTTTCTGGACGGAAGTCAATGCCGGGTTCGAGATACGGGATGAATTTCGGTGGGTCAGGTTCGAGCTTAGCGCGGTGTGTGATGGCGTACGGTGAGGGGTCGCTCACGCCGTATTTGTTCTCAACGCGGATGCGGAACTTGTAGTCGCGAAAGGGCTCTAGGTTTCGGATGTCGCAGACGCAGGATCTAAGCCCTGTGCGGGCTGTGAACCAATCGCCATCGGGCACTTCGCACATTTCCACCTGCATGATTTAAATGACACCGTAAATAACGTGATACAATGGAGCAGATTATTTGCTCCTGTTACTACGTCCAAAATCAGTATTTGCGATAGAAGTATTAGCACGAAATCACAAGAACAGACATCGAAGAATCATTTCAGTTGTAGACGTTTTTTCTCACCTGGTAAGTGACAGGGAATCGAGGTCCGTGTGGGATGGAAGGCTTCCAAGAGAGCGTGAGGTGTCGGTCGGCCATACGAGAGATGATGGGCTTATCAGCCAGCGGCATTGGCACGCCGGTTTTCTTCATCTTATCGAAGTCAGAGTACTGGTCGCCGATTGGCCGTTTTTGAGTTTGAGGTTCCAGGGCTGAAAAAGCAAATATACGTGCAATAAGCAAGTCCAAAGGAATGTAAAAAAGGAGCCCAGTAGTAGGTGGATTAAGTGCATGCTGCATAATTAAATCCGGATTTATGTTTGGTGCATGAAATGACCTTGAGCATTTTTAAATTGTTTCCTAAATCGGAGACTTCACAGTTTTCCTTTTGGTTTGAGTTTACGTTCTTGTACGTTAAACAATGCAATGTGTTATAATAACAATATGGCATCTGGTTGTTTTAAGACAAAATTTTAAGATTTTTGATTGTACTTACTATCGTAAGTAAGCTGAGCAGTGCAAGAATCTTCGCCATGCGGGTTGTAGATCCTGCAGCGATAGGTGCCGACATCTGTAGGGTCAATCTGGCTGATGGTCAGACGAAGCAGTCCAGTGGTTTCTTTGTCCATGCGGATGCGTTCGCAAGGGAATAGCCTGTCATCGTTGCGGTACCATTCTACGTCTGGCTCAGGAGTGCCAGTGGCACACGCTGTGAATTTTGCACTCATGCCACGTAGGACTTCGATGTCGCCGATCTTCTTGAGGAACGATGGTGGCTCCATTTTCTGTTTTTTGCCACTGTTGATAGAATATTTTTCATAACGTAAAATTATTTCACTGACACCAACCGCATTGTTACGATGTTACGTGTATGGGAGAAAAAACGTGACAGTAGGTTAAATGTCACGAAAATGAGAACTTTGAGCAGTCTGTTCAGTGTTAATCTTAGTAAAAGAGCGTTGTGGTGTGATAGATGACATAGTGATCAGAATAGACAAGAGAATGCTTCGAGGGTTTGGTCATGTATAAATATTAGCAGATTGACATAGCAAATGTGTATGGAAACTTGGAGAGAGGCCAGAGAAGTAGATCTTGACGTACATATCTCGATAAAATTGTCTATGTCCTTAAAATAGGCATTTATGTTGGCCTGACCAAACAAACTTTAAATTAAATAAAAACTGATTATTTGCACGAACAAAATAGATACTAATTAAAAAGATAGGTACTTTGTGTGGTGCAAGCCTCGATAACAAAAATGTCACTAACTCGGTATTTGCTGGAAAACGCATTGCTTTCCCAGCACTGATGTATGAAGGGACTGAAGAAGTGGCGAAAGAGGATTGCCAAGGGCGTAGCGAGTGAACATGTCCAGATACAACTAAAAATACTTACATCTTATCAACAACTTCCAGGTGAGCCTCACAAGATGCCTCCCCCTCTCTATTCTTCGCGACGCATTTATATAACCCAGCATCTTCAGGCTTTAGATCCCTTACATACAAACAGCACGCATCTCCATCCCTTTTTATGTTATACTTGTCACTGTTGGTCAGAGGGCGGCTATCTTTATACCACGTGATATCTGGTGCTGGCACGCCGATGACTCTTGCGGGGAATTTGGCGTCGAAAGTTGGAAGCTGGAAGAACGGGTCTACTGTCACGAACTGTCCAGGTGTTCAGTGACGGTAGGGTTTACTTTAGAGATGTTACACTTGATCTATTTTTGGTTTTGCTGCACATTCACAACTAAACATATATTTAGAAAGTTAATAGTAGTCTTTCTGCGCAATTTAACGATTTTGGGTCAATAATATTGGTAACTGACCATTAATCGACTAAAGGTCATTAGGACGTTAATCGGTGAAATGTCGAGAAGAATTATTATTTTTATTTGTAAAATACTTAGTACTAACGACCTCGCAGAACTATGTTACCTACTAACATTGTAACAACAACTGTCGTTCCAAGACTTTTTACAAGACAATAAATATGTAAATTAAATAAATTAGATTGCTCACAGATGGCGCTACGGAAAAAAGTCGTTAAATATCAAAACAAGGACCTACAACAAGCACATAGAAAAATTCGTAAGGTCCGCTAGTTCGTTTCGTGGCTTCGTCTGGTACGGTTTGCTGGAAGACGTTGGTTTGAATCTAATCTTTGTATTACTAATTATAACAAACTAGAATATTTTTATGAAATTACTCCAATTTCATAAAAATATTTGGATATAATGGTGGTCAAACATTGTGACATTCAATAAATTCGTCAAAAATATATCTTTTTTTAGATCTGTATTTGGTAGTACCGACGACCTCCACCCCTGCTCCTGCGTTTTGCATCGGACTGGTATTTAAGCTTTCTTTTGTTACTCACAGGTTTATCACCGTTTAGATCGGTACTTATGAAAATAATTTTATTTTTGTACTAAAGTAAAATCTGATGAAGTTCAGTCATGGTACAAGTTGTTGTTTATGATATCAGTAACATAGCTTGGTGTCCGTGGCCTTATTTCTAATCTAATCTTAAGACATGATTCTAGAAACAAGGCCGCCGACACCATCCTGCCTGGATCGGCGGGTTCGGTCTATAGACTCCTTTCATCATACCAAGGGCACGATATATTAGTATTGACAGAACTAGACTGTTGAACAGCTTTCACATGGCAAAGTTCAGTATACACAGAAAGACTACAAACGGTTTGTTAAGATAAGAAAAGAGATAGATCAAGTGAATACATCACCGCTTTCGTGCGTGATTTCTACGACGACACTGAGCATGCGGAGGAACGTTCATACTCCTCCATGAAGAAAACACATTATAGTTATCTGAAAGTTTGCTACTAGACAACTAAATTACATGACACAACGCTATAACTTATTAAGAAATATTTTTGGTTTATCCTTGAATATTTTATTGGTACATTCGACGGGTGGCTGAAAAGTAATCTCTTTTGACTATCTATGAAAAAATGAAAAAATAATACTGGCCACTTTCGTGATGCATTCGTTGTTTACTCTTTTTCAAAATTAGTGACGCTCTTTTGTATTTTACGTTTCGCTTTGCATGGACAAAATGGCGAAAGAAAAAGTTTTTAAAAGATGAACAACTTTTTTCTTAACAGATTTCTTCTAACGTTTAGTGTCTCTGTCACAAATATAAAAAGTGCATTTCCAATGTACATTTCATAGGTATTTAAAAATGGTCGCCCATTAGTTCATAGTAAGTTAGAAAACTTTTCAGCCATCTCTCGCAACTTAGAATATGACTAAGTATCATAAATTCTGACAGCGAGGGTCCTGAAGACTGCAAACAAAAAGGCAGACTTTCGGATCTCTGTTTTGTTAATTATACGAAAGAAAAAGAAATCGAGACCGACCGATCTTTTGTTTGCAGTCTTCAATGCTCTCAAAGAGTCAAGTTTCATACCTGTTGAAGGTCAGAGAACTTCTGGCTGAAGGTGGGCGGCTGGTAGACCTTGCGCACGCTGATCTTGCCCTCGGAGCTGTCCTCGCCCAGAGGGTTGGTTAACTTGACCGAGTACACGCCCGCGTCGGGGAGTTCCACAGGGTTGATTTCTAAGCCCACCTGATAATAAAGTAGGTATGAATAATAAAGAAGAAGAGAATAAAGAGAAGCAGAGAGTGATGTGATTCAGTCTGTGGAAACCCTGGAAACGAGTAAAGAGACCTTTATGTTGGAGATGCCGTCTACAAAGGTGTGGCCAAGTTCAAGTACCTAGGTTGCACTATAACAGATACCAACTCTAGGGAAGAGGATATAGACATCCGCATCCAGAACAACCCACGATGTAGTGCAGCTCTACACAGTGTTGGTGTCCAAACTTCTGAGCCGTCAAGTCAAAATTCGGATCTACAAGACCGTCATAAGGCCCATTCTTACGTACAGTTGTGACGCTTGGACACGCACACTTAAAGAAGAGAACAGACCTGGTGAAATTATAAGCACATGGGACTTGTCAACTGACGTCTCAGGGTGACGGGCGCAGTGGCAGTGCCCCTCAGATCTTTGCGATTTAAAGCTCTGAGTGGCACTGCAACTGTTATGGACTGGCGTACTATAATAGTTTACCATGAGTCGCACGACTTGTTTGTCCCGTCACTAGATATTATATATATATATTAAACAAAAGACTGGTGGCTAAGAGAACTAAGGTTCTCAGGAAAATATTAGGGCCAATCCAACGGGAGAACGGTAGCTGGAGAGTCCGCACTAACACTGAAATAGAAGAGCTCGTCGCGCAGCCAAACACCATCGGCGAAACCAAAGCGCACAGACTTCGCTGACTCGGCCATTTAGAAACGATGGGAGAGGATCGGAACGTGAAGAGAGCCTATCTGGGTCAACCTGATGGACGAAAACCGGTTGGACGTCTCAGGTACCTATCGCTGGAGCAACGCCGTGGATACGGATTTGCGGGAATTACAAGCCATCAATGTGCGAGAGATTGCACACGACCGCAGAAAAGGGCATCATCTCGTTTCGGAGGCCGGGACACAGTTTGGGTCGCTGAACCAGTGGAGTAAGTAAGTAAGTATAAATAATAAAAGTTGCTTTAGTTTTCAATTCGCAAAAGTTTCCCATTATACAAAACACTTTAAAGATTAAATATTTATTTCGCCTACTTCCAACGTAGGAATACCAATTAGAAAATCTGTGGGGCGCACGAAAGGAGTCTGCCCGTAATAATGTACCTACGTACGAATCGTATTCCTAGTAGATACGTCTGGTGTACACTGGGCAACAATCGGCCAGTTTCTTAAATCGATTGGAAAATTGTTTCATCACTTAAAAACCGGAACACAGTAATGCTGACATTACTGTTTGGCGGCAGAAATAGGTAAGTTGGCTGTACTACCCTGATCGAACTCTTTGACAAGGAGCGCTATTGCTACTACGAAGTCTACGTACTTATATTAATACGTATTTTTTCGTCTTCAATTATTTTCCGATTTGTGGTCCGAAGTGAGGTCACTCACCCTCTTGCCATCGCAGGTGAGCAGCACCTTCTGGCTGGGCTTGAGCGGCACTCCGTCCTTGAACCACTCGACGTCGGGCACGGGGTTGCCGACGAACGGGGCCGACACGGAAAGGGGTTGGCCCTCCTCGGCGCTGATGTCGCGGAGGCCGTGGATCAGTTGGGGACGTTCTTGCGGAGACGAGTCGTCCGCACGGCCTGGAAATTTATACTTGTGAAATTTGGTGGTGATACGGTATTTTTGCTTGTGTATATCAAGGCTCTCGCTTGAAAGAACAGCTGGAGGAGATTACCAGTGAGCTCTAGGTTGCTGAAGGTTAGGAAACTATTTTTTCTCGGACCTAAATCGAGTTATATTTGTTTTTTCAAACAAACCAACGTTTTAGGTCTTTTACAGGTGCTATAGTCACGGCTGACGGAGAAGTCATCAACCAGTTATTAATAATATTATAATTTCTAGTTAAATAGTAAGTACTCTTTGAGTTTTAGAAAAAGTACCAAAGGCGAAATTACTCGATGATTTATTAGGATGATGTTATAAACTAATGGCGTTTTGTAATGAACCAGTCAAAATGAAATGATAATTGTAAAGCTTATTAGAGAAGTACTCACTGGCAACAGTAAGATCGGCAGTGGAAGCTGATTCTCCCTTGTCGTTGATAGCGACAACACCGTACTTTCCGGCGTCGGCGGGCGTCGCCTTATCGATGAGCAGAGCATGGGTACCATCGGGCAGGGATACTACTTTGATGCGATCACCGTCGGGGACGATCTCTTTGCCGTTGTGGGTCCTAATAATAATGTTCATAGTAACGCTTAAATATTTGATTTAGAAGACGTCATACAAAAAACAGTAAATTGCCAACTATGGCCCGGCGCCCACAGATGAGACTCTCTATGGATACCGCGGCATAACTACCGTTAGTGTACGCTTGCAAGTAGGGATGCCGAAGGCATCTTACCCTAAAGCAAGAAGAAGATTATCTGTTTAAAAAAATATATCTTACCATTTAATAGTTGGTGGCGGATGCCCCAAAACCTTCACTTCAAGTCTCACCGGGAAACCTTCAATAACCTTAGTAGGCATCAGTTCAGCGATAAAGGCTGGTTTCCTTTCCTTTTGCGTCACTTCCACTTTGGCCTTGGAGGCGACATCGCCGAGCTTGTTGGTGACGGTCAGGGAATAGACTCCGGCGTCTTCCGGCTTGACGCTGTCGATGCTCAGACCAATTATGCCGCCTGGCTGGTTGATGAAGTTGATCGCTTGCGATGGCCGGATGGGGAGACCTTGGACGATAAGATACTCTGTTAACTGGTGTTATAAAATGATAAAGGTCTGATTTTACTGGTGCTGAGTGTATACTCAGAAGGTATCTTCTCACGGCTAGATGGAAATTCTTAGCCAATTGAATGAAATGCGGGAAATTTTGAATATCTTCGAAGTTTTTTTGAATCTATGTAATCTCGTTTAACAGTTGAAGAACTGCCAGGAGTGAAGAAGACAGTAGATACTCGTATAAACTTACCGTCCTTGAACCACTTGATTTCCGGTGCGGGGAAAGCCATGACCTTAGCTTCGAGCTTCAACGGTTGGCCGACTGCAGCCACCACGTCTTCCAGTTCCTGGGTAAATGATGGTTTGCGCGGTGTTGCTATTGAATAGAAAATTGGTGAACTAGTATTAAATTAATTCGAAGCGAAGAATCATTCTTTTTAGTAGATTTTGGTAATAGTAGCGTTCAGATCAATAGTTATAAATAGGTAATTGTTTTATTGCATTTACTCATGTCTCTACGTTTAATATACAATTCATTGGAGTGGTAAATCTCGTGTTTGGGCTTATATTATTCGTTTTGACTCGGACTTTCATATTATGCGTTTCAGTTATCTTCGAGGAGACCACGGTGACGAACACGGCGAAAGTGTAGATAACTTTGGAAGTCAGTTTTTTAAAATAAAAAAGTTATGATTATGTATCATTTGCACATCTCAAGTTCAGCTATGTTTATATGTAATATGTACAGAGTACTTTTTTTTAATGGGACAGTAAGGGTAAATCCGAAACCATGGAGGATACGTGAAAACTGTCCTAGGAACCATTAAGCCTTTTATTGTAAAAACAATTTCGGGATAGTTATAGTGCTGATTGACTCAGTTTTTTGAAATTTTATCAACTTCTGCTGTCCCGATTTTTTTGTCCCATACAATGAAATGATTCTTATAAGAAGCTGAGTCTATCAAATTCTTTCTTGTTTAAATTTTTTGGTCTGTCTTTGTTTATTATGGGCCGATACATACGTAACTTTTCTAAATTGTAGGGACATTAGTAAGGAATCTTATTGTTTGAGTATTTTTTTTTATTGATTCTATTACTTTGCCGATATGTCAGTCTTCGTATAAAAACGTAATTTGGGGTTCTGCTGTCCTGATTTGCTTGTCCCATACAATTAAATGATCCTTACATAAAACTGAATCGATCAGCCCTCAAAAATTAGCCTATTTTTATGGACAACTCGCGTTAGACCAAAAAAATTGACTATGCCAAATTTGTTTTCACAATAAAAGACTTAATGGTTCCTAAGACAGTTTCCTTGTATCCTCTATGGTTTTGGATTTCCCCAATTCTCTCCCATTTAAAATAAAACCATAGTGATGATTAAATTTATACTTACGATTAACAGCAACAGCGCAAAGAGCCGAATTATCACCATACGGGTTGGAAATCACCAGCTTGTACGCACCACAATCTGCTGGGGTCACCTTCTCAATGGCCAACTTGATGGTACCATCAGGCAATGCGGTTTGGATAATATGCTGATCGTCAGGGGAAATTTCGACGCCGTCTTTGAACCTGCAAGGGTAATATATAAACCTACCACGAACATTGATACGGAAATACGGGCGCTGGTATTCGCGCCCGTAAACAGGACACTACTGTATGTGGTACACAATAGAATACTATTACTACGGTTGTAGTAGTACATGGGCTGTCAATTGGGATAAACAACTTTCTTATTAGTCACGGTATATTAAATTCAGTTCAACAGTTATTGACATAAATTCACGGAGAAGGGGAACATTGAATTGCATACTTCGTATCCGTGATTACCTCGTTAAATTCTTCTATATTGTAGTTGGTCCTTTGTTGAGACTTAAAATTTTACATGTATTATTAAGTGCATTAAGCAAAAGCTAAAATCAGGGTAATTTGATAAATTACCCGATAACTATTCATTCCCGTTCAGAGGTTTGTCTCTTTTAATTTTTGACTAAAAATGACAAACCGAAAACTAAATAAAGACGAAGAAATATCTTTGGGAAAATGATTTGGTTTGAGACTTAATTATTTTTGTATTTGGACGTAGTTACACAAAATTTTCAAAATAATGATAATAATATAACGGTTTTTAAAGTCTAATCTCTTAGATCAGCAAAAAATCCAACATATAAACACATAAACATAAATAAATATCTCTGGAGTTACATAACATTATAAGAAACACTTTTAAACTTCAAACTGCCATATTTCGGAAGTGACTGTATATGCATTGGATCCTTTTTGTTTAACATGTCCAATTGACATTTGACATGTAGCATTTTATTGTTCCAATTAATTATGTAAATATTAACATACTAAAATATCAAGGCTAAATATAATTTTGAACCCTGTCTAAAAGTAACCCGACCAAATGGAAATATCAAAATTTTAAGACGTAAGGTAAATACGTGAATAACAAAGATAGATAATATGAATGACTTCTGATTGCAACGACTGGGTCAAGAGATTGTATCGTATACTATTCTAAACCTGGGGTTAACAAGCTTGCAAGTAATTGTACGGTAAATCTCACCACTTGGCGGTAGGAATGGGACTGCCGTCGACCTTGCATTTGAGCTCCAAAGGCTCGCCCTCATCGACGTCGCGCTGGCGGTCCAGTTTGTGCGTGAAACCGGGCGAGGTTTGGGCGAGGGTGATGGGAGCTTCGCATACTGCTTCGCCGCAAACGTTCACTGCGCGAACTTTGTACTGAAGTAGAATAGACGATTTCATATTTTCAGGTGTACTTTTTTTATAAAAAATAAGTGCGCGTTTTACCTCCAACTCACCTGATGGAAAGTGATGATAAGGTCGACGATGTAGCATGCACACCTAAATAATGCCTATTCACTTTCACCTTGAAAAGGTTCAAGTTATGGCGTTAGGGGAACAAGTCCGTAGGTAGGGAATTCCACTCTCTAGCCGCTCGCCATATAAATGTGGAAGCGAAACGTTTCGTGCGAATCCTGGGAATATCCACGACATAGGGGTGGAATCCCAGCCCACGTCTAGTCCCCCGATGATGGAAAGGGGAAGGCGGAACCAAATTAAGCAATTCCATCGCACACTCTCCGTGATATATCCTGTAGAATACCGATAAGCAGGCAGGCAACTTTACGGCGGTGTTCAAGGCGCTGCAGCTTCGCCTCTACTAATTTCGAGTCACCTACAAGCCTCTTGCCACGTTTGTCTATTAAATCCAAGGTGGCCAGTTGGTATTTAGCAGAGGCATCCCATAAGTGACAGCAGTAGGTACTCCATACACGACCGAACTTGTGCTTGGTACAGCTGAAGCAACTGTCCCGGAGTGAAGTAACGCTTCACCTTGGAAAGGATGCCAAGCTTCCTGGCTGCATTTTTGGCCATGAATTCAATGTATCCCAATTATTATAACTTTATTAGAAATGTCAAAATGTTGAAGATGAGTGCACAAAGCCTCCCCAAACGACCTACCATTCCTTTCCAGTACTTCTGGTTACTGCGTTCCAGTTTTCAAGGGTACCCACTTGTCGACTTTATGATTCAGGGTAACGGTCGCAGTAGCAGTGCCCTTCATATCTTAAGGGTCGATACAAAGTCAAATGGCTTTGGTTGATTCCGCAAAACAGTGGAAGTGTTGAATTAATTACTTTGGAAAAAATATATAGTAAAATTGAAAACTTGAAGCGTGAAAACTGCGATTCCTAAAAATTTAAAACACGATACAAAAAGAAACACAAACTTGCCTCAAAATTTTACAAGACAATCGCCCGTATTCAATGGGCACTTTACATATACCAATGATTTTTTTAATATCAACTTAAATAAATAGAACACGTAGGTATACTATACGATATACATTTTACAAATGGCTTAAATTGCGTTTGTTAAAAAATAATTCTAAAATAAAGCCAGTGTCCCTTCCGTTCAATCCGCGCTATAGAACCGATTTAGTACGGCATAATTTTGATTCGAGATAAATTCTATCGACTCTTAACGATTTTAAAGCCTTGAGTGGCACTGCAACTGTTATAGATAAGCGTGTCGCTTACCACAAGGTGCACGACTTGTTTGTCCCATCATTTCATATTATAAAAAAAAATCTTATTTCTTGTTGTGTATGTGAGTATCCTCACCTTTCCAGAATCACTAGAGTTGAAATGCTTAATAGCCAGCTCGCTCTCAACCTGTCCCGAAACTTCAACTTTGACCGCGTGTCTGTCGTCCTGGTTGATCTCCAAGCCATCCTTGTACCAATGTACCTCGGGCTTGGGTACACCGTCGCAGCGCACTGCTAGAGTCACGTCGTCGTAGTCCTTAACAGTCTCCTTTTGAAGAGGCTTTGTGAACACTGGCTCGTTGGCTGTGGAGGGTGAAGAAATATCGATATTTAACAGTGCAGCGAAAGCTATACATATTTAGTAATTAATCCATTTAATATTATTGGACTTATTATTATTGATACCTACACAGACGGAACACAAAAAAAACAAATTCCTACGATCTGACTAGACTCGCGATTAGTGACTACCGCTGCGTGTACCGCCGTCGGCACAAGCGCTCATACAAGTCTTTCATTTGTGAGCATTCGGTTCCGCATGACTGCACAGGACAGGTAACGTTATTTTCACCTCTGAGCGCGTGCTTAGGTTCCTTTTTCCTCGTAGTGAGCACCTGGTCTCATTCGTCAGATTAAGTAGGCTATTATAGCGTAGGTATTTTCGAATTTGTATCAGAGTGATATATGTTACGTAGTAAGTATTAAGTAATCTATGCTACAGCTGTTAAGAGTTACACAATAGAATACTTATGCTACTTACTGAGAATAGTAAGCCTGGCCTGTTGCGCGGTTTCTCCGATCTCGTTCTTGGCAGTGACAGTGTAGACGCCGGCGTCGCCCACGCTGATCTTGTTGATCTTCAGCGAATACGTTTCATTCGCTGTATCAGCTGTGATGTCGAACTGAGACGATGGCTGGATTGTGTAGCCGTCTTTACTCCTGTTCGCAAGTGATAAATTGAGTTTTAAACTATACCCAAAAAGTTTCATTTGGAATAAAAGAAAAATTGTTTATTTAGTAACTTACGTTTACAGGTGTTACGTATCCATGTGAGATCACATGATAACATCAGATCAATGCATTCGTAACGGAAACATGGCCCATGCATTACAACGTGACCGCTGACAAACTTATTATTTTCTCTACTAAATTATAAATCACTTTTCGGCCCGACGTTCCTAACTTCAGACTTGGACTCTAAATTCAGACGCACACATTCTTATAATCTTGCGGTGCACACGCGTTGCGTAACGCGGATTATCACATTCGCTTTTAATTGTAGAATTGAAACGAAAACTTGGTGTTCAACAAATGACATCAAATAGAAGACGTGTTTATTGCTGTGTTTGTGGGAAGTTTGAACAAGCGTGTCTCAAATTCAGAATTGTTCAGCCATTCATTTCTGTTTTATAATCATAGTCCATAATCAAGACGCCAATCAGCGACACTGGTATAGAAATTTGAAAACGTACTAAGAACCGACTTTATTTAAGAAAGGTTATTTCAATATACTACGAGACTACTGTGATAAACACCTTAATTTTTTCAAATTATGCTAACAACCCGTAATTACAACAAAAATAATACTGTGACAACCCTGCGACCCAATACCCATTTACCGCTCGAACGCGCCGAACAGCCGGGAGCAGCCCTACGTGCTCTTATTATACTATGATCATCATCATATTAGCCCAAAGACGTCCACTGCTGAACAAAGATTTCGAGACTAGCCGATCGAACTCGGTTACCCGCCGCCCTTACCATGTTATCCGTCCATCTAGTAGAGGCCTGTCCCACTGAACGCGTTCCAGTTCGTGGTCTCTATTCGAGAACCTTTCTGCCCTAACGGCCATTAGTTCTACAAGCTATGATCATACTAACCATTTAACTTCAGCAATGGGATTCGCACGGATCTTAGTGATAAAGGTGGTTTCCTCAAACGGTACGGCAGTTACATCCTCCATGGGCTCGATTTCGGGCCGCAGCAGGATGTCCAGCCTAGCCGAGCTTTCGCCTATGCCATACTTGTTCTTGGCCTCTATTGTGTAGACTCCTGTATCTGAGTGACGACCTGGATAGAGGAATTGAGATAGATTTGTGTACTCAAATACAGATTCTGATGCGGCTTTTAATTTTAATCATTAATTTCTTCTGTAACCCAGTATTAATAAGCTGAATAAAAAGTTTATTTCTTTCTTTGGATTATGATTTAAATTTGGAATCGTCAAATGGCTTCTACGTACTCAGATGACAAAAATCTATGGTAATGATAAAATGAATTATACATTATATTTTAAAATTATTGTAAATATTAAATGTGAGCAAATATCTACCTCTAAAAATCTATTTCAAAGGACTACCCCTAAGTTGGAATCTACCTCAATCACGAATGAGTAGAGGTGATTAATCAATTTGACTATTTTAATTGTAATTTGCTTACCTAAGCAATATAATATATTATAATCATTGACTTACAAAGAAATGGACGACGGGTCTAATACAAAAACCACGAAAAAAATGTCCCAAGTCAACCTATTCGAAATTTAAATTGTAATGTCATCGCAGTATCGCGCTGTCAGTCGAACAAATGAAGACTAAAGCGGAGTTTGGCGCTCTGTATACGATTTTAGCGCCTTACAAGTGCGGACTTTTTGGCGCGGACCCGACGTCCATATAATTGTAAGTCAATGATTATAATAATATATTTTTAATTCGAACTTTAAAATTCGAAATTGCAAATTTGAAAATTGAAATTCGTCAGCGAAATTCTATACATGCTTATGGTTGTTATTTACATGGTTGGTACTTACCAGTAGGAATATGTAAAGTAAAGGTGCATTCCTTGAGCCCGTGGTCTATGTCCTTGCTTTCAACATTGGCCTTCACAGTGGCGTCCGGCACGATTAACTCCCCGTTGAGAAGCCAGGAGACGTGTGGCAATGGGTCAGCGGTACAGATTGCTGTCATGGTGACCGGTTCACGCTGCATTACACGCTGAGCTTCCAGAGGGTTTGTGAAGATTGGTTTGCGGAATTCGTTTACAGCTGTGGATGTTAATTGAGAGAATTATATATAGACTAATTATAGGCTGGTGTCTTTCAAGGTACTAGGTTACACGTTAAACTTACACGTTATTAAATATGGCAGTAACTTGACGTGCTAGCCCACGAAGCCAGATACGGTTAAATCGTGCAACATAGCCGCGTTTGTGTTGAATATTTTTTCATGAAGTTTATTATACCGTCCTCCGATTGAACTTAATAAAATAAATAACACAAACGCCACTACTATCATAAGTTCACAACTACTATCAACACCAAACACAAAACACCAAAATTACGGTGTTTTCCGTTGGCCAGACAGGTCTGACCAGTGGGATTTTTTTTTCAAAAATACACTTGACCCGTGTTTCGTCTCTCTTAAAAGGCATCATCAGAAGATGCTGATTGTTCGACACTCGGTCGAAAGTGATAGGAAAATTTAAAGCATGTAACCTTGTCACGGAGTGGCAAGGTAACCTTCCATTTCAATATATGGATTTCCGCAAAATAATGCCTGAATCTGTAAGTTACTTTATTTTTTATAATGGTATTGAGATATTTTTTATGAAAATATTTGATTAGTTTGCTGTTATTAATTAGGTAAACAAAGATGGATAAAACACGCGGCAATATTCTATCGATCCGGCTGAACATGAGACAGTAGCTGCCTTTACACATTCACTCTATAGCGCGTGATCAGATGCGTACAGGAATGCGTCAATGCAACATCTTTACACGCGTGCACAATTAATTAATCAATTGATTTTTTTACCAAATTAGGGCTGTCGAGCCCAGCCTGATCGGAGGAACTTTTCTTTATGTTTGTTCGCTCTTTTCACCAACAATAACTATAAATTACTAAACTAAACTAGAGTTGTATATATAATGTATAACGTTGCGTGCAGGAGAGCGTGAGGGATGCTTCGATGGTTTGGTAATGTAGAAAAAATGAATGTTTATGGATATAAACATATGGACATATCTTAACCAGATTGTGCATGTCCGTAAAAGACCGGATTAAAAGTGCGAAGAGCCGCACTAAGCTATCTGATGTGGGGCGTATCATTGCGCAAAGAAAGTGTGGTTGGGCGGGTCACATAAGCCGCAGAATCGATGACTGGTGGAGCAGAGGAGTGCTGGAGTGGAGACCGAGGACCGGTAACAGAAGTCGGCCACTAGAGACGGGCGATATTGTCAAGATAACCGAAAAGACTGCAGTGAGTGACTAAAGGTTGAAGAAGAAAAGTACCAAGAATAGATGGGCATGTATAAAGAGACTAGAGTGAGTGGAGAAAACTTAGGTTTGTCAGTGATGTAGCAGGTGGAGGTCCACAGTTTCTGCCCATTCCGGTGGGAGACGGATATGATTATATATATATACTTACAAGTTACGTTGAGTTCAGCATTCTGCGTTTTTGCTCCAAGGTTATTAGTGATCTCACACTGCCATTTTCCCGCGTCAGACATCTCTACGCTGTCGATTGCCAGCTTGTACGTATTGCCTTCCGTGGTAATGTGGACTCGGCTGCTAGGTTGAACCTCCTTGCCGTTCAGAAGCCACTTGGCGACGGGTTTTGGTGCACCAATGGCTTGGACCGTGTACACTAGTGGTAAAGATTCGTAGGTTTTTCCGTCTTTCATTGAGCTGTCTTTTATTGTTGGAGGTGCTGCAAGTTTGAGAAGAGAAAGGTTAGAGAGTGAAGGTGTTTTCTGGAAAAACCTAAAGAATTATGTCAATGGTGACTGGTTTTTTGCTACTTTTCAATTCACTTAACAATTAATAGGTATATTTAAATATCAAATTCGATATGAAAATGATATTAATACAGTAAAGTTTCTCAAACTGTTTACTATTTAGATATTAAATTACGTATCTACGGTACAAATTATAAAAAAAAAGCGAATTTGATAACTTATAAAAGCGTATTCAATACGCATGATCTAAAAATAAACTTAGCTAAAAAATAACGAAAATGCCTTACTTAAAAATGATTATCGCTAGTTACATATTCCTTACGATATGAATTAGGTATTATTTTCGTTTTCGGAACGCATAGTCATGACCTTTTTATTACAAATTACTTTTTCTCTCTGAAGGATAATTTGCAGTTAGCTGACTACGTCTCTGGACAAAAGTTGAAGGAAGTCCATGTTAATAAAAATGGAAGTAAATTAATTTGTTACTCTGCGAACCCAGTGAAGGTTAAATCGTGTAAAATAGTTACCCGACACGTGTTTCGCGTCTAAGAGAAGCGGAACACGTGTCGGGTATATTTTTGGTGGTGGTTTGTGACTGTAGTTGCGCTTGGGTTATTTATTTTATTAATTTTATGCGGGTGGGATAATTAACTGTACTTGTGTTGAAAAAATACTCAACACAAGCGCAGCTCACTGGGTTCGCGGAGTAGCAAATTAATTTACTTCCATTTTTATTAAAAGTTGAAAGCTTTTAACCCCTAAGTTCATAACCCCTAATCACTCGAAAGTTAATAACTTAACGCGTTTTAGAAAATAGACAAAAATGGTTCAACGCCATCTAGCGGCACCTTACCTGAACTACATACATTGTTATGTTATTAGAGTCAACAGCGGGCTACCCTCTGTTGACTCATTTCGAAATATGTATTCTCGAAATACGTATTCGAAATACGTTTTGATACGTGAAAAATAATAATACCTCATACCGTTGTAAGAATCTGGTAACCAGTGATAACAATTTAGTAAATAACCACAAAAGGTTTAAAATTTAATTTAATGTATAAATGCATTGACTTACAAATAAATGGACGCCGGGTCTAATACAAAAACCACGAAAAAAATGTCCCAAGTCAACCTATTTAAACGTAGTGACATGTAATGGAATATGAAAAAGCTATAACGTTGAATTTAAATTGTAATGTCATCGCAGTACTGTCTAATTTTGCTTGCTTCGCTGTCAGTCGAACAAACGAAGACTAAAGCGTGAATGACCCTCTATATTCGATTTTAATGCCCTATGAGTTCGGACACTTTTTAGCGCGGATCCGACGTCCATATAATTGTAAGTCAATGTATAAATGTTATAAAATAGAATACATAAATATGTACAATAAAAATAACAGCGTAACACATAAAAATCCAAATACGAAGATTCACCGAAAGCAAGTATTCGAAGCTCCTAGAAATAAAATAACACTTTTATTATTTACAAATAGATATAGACCGACAGATATCGCATTATATACAGCAGTTATTTCTGAAATTTATGATCGTACAAACTCGTGTATACTCGCCTGTTATTTGTGTCGAGAGAGATAGTTGTATTTGTGTGTACTTTTGTCTTTATACTTACCGTAAGATGCGTTTTGTTATGGAAAGAGACTTAAAAATAGTTGAGAGGATAATATTGCCAGTGCCATAACAAACTTTGATTCTATAGAATGCTAAATATAAGCCAAATCCCTTGACAATGACCAAAAAAACAGGTCGCCCGTATTCCGAAGTATTCTCGCGCATTCTATGGAATTTCTACTTTGTACAAATAATAAAGGTCATTTGTACTGGGTTTCTTTCCATTCTGCGGCAATAGGTATAATTTTTTCTAAAGTAGACCCAAATTGAAACGCTGAAGGGGCTATGTCGGGCGAATACGGTGAATGAGACAACATATCCCAAAGTAACTGCAATAGTTTTTGATAGCTTGTAACATTGACCTATCAACAATAATGACTTTTATACACATGAGTGGTTTCACATTATTATGATGAAATACGACATTTAACAGTTTTGGGTGATTTTCACCAATTATAAACTTAAAACTTTCCCGCCTATTCTTAGACCGCGCGTAATATAACATTTTAAAAGAAAAAAATTGGCAGAAACCGCACGGACTTTTTAATTTTTTGACATATAAATATGAGCCGAAATATTTCTTTCACCACGATGTCAAGAATTATAGTGTATGCCATCGATAAAATAAGATGAAGACACCTATTAATACTACCAAGTATGTACCTAACGCGTCTGTGCGGCCTGGAAGGACTATCCTCTTAAAAAGTGGAATTGGCATGCCAATGCACAAAATGCTTAAAATTGTTTTTTACCTGCTTTTTCTGGATAACTAGTGCCTCTGGCGCACCGAGCCCCAAGGATTAGTATGCCAGAAGGGAATGTTATTACGCATGCGCGCTAAAACAAACATACGACAGTGCATTAGTACAGTACAATGTGCTACACTAAAAGGATATGTTGATGATCTGTTGTTTTCGACAGAAAATTTGTAAAAGAACATTTCTAGGTTTGAAATATTTTATAGGAAAATAGCAGATCACGGTTACAACAGCAATATTTTTTGTAAAGCATTTAAATCAAATTATTTTCTTGTAAAATCCTTAGCGTTACGTTTGCCAGCTTTAAATCAACGTACTATTTCGTTTCGAATATTCGAGTAAGATTACAATTACCTTTTTCTGTTTCTTCGTTAAGAATATCATCAAGAATGCTCCTTTGTCTCTGGCTACGTTTTAATAATGCTTCGATTTCGTCATCGTTTTCCTCCTCTAAGCTATATAGTTTCGAATTTTGCTTTTTCTTTCTTTCAACCGTCGTTTCTGTTACGTTCTTTGTTATATTATCGAAGGTCTTCATTGGGCCAAGAACAAATTCTTCCAGTAATCGACTTTTCACATCGTCTATTTTAGTTTTGGCACTTTTGAATTCATCTTCATCAAATTCCTTTGATATATGGATGAGTTTTTCAGTTATATCATTTTCGAATATTTTCTGAGACTTCTCTTTCAATATAAATGATTCTTCTTCACCTTTATCGGTGAAATAATCTTCTTTGAAAGAGGATTGCCTTACGTAAGAATCTTTGCTAAATACTTTCCTAGTGTCGTCTATGTCGAAAATAGATTTTGACAGGTCTTCTATAGAAATCTCTCGAGATAGAGACTCGTTCTGCCAAGTAGTTTCGTCTTCTGACATGGACACTATAGAAACAGCTCTGTTCGAAAATTGCCTGCTACACTTTGAGCTGTTCTCTGCTTCGGAATCAGTTGGTGGTTCCTCAATAATGCCATAAGTGCCTCTTCTAACATTCTCGGGGACAGCAAATTGGCCCAATTCAGACATAAAGTAACTGTGACTAGCTATTTCTTCTACTTCTAAGGACGTCGTATGCGGCCTGTTTGGTTCGATTATCTTTCTCCCGCTTTCATTGTCATCATAATAAACTGCGGAAGTTCTTACTTTGTGTAAAGTGCGCGTTTCAGCTGGACCTATCAGTTAAAATAGTAAGTTGATTTTTGATAATACTTACAACAGTTTAAAAAGATTTACTTAGTTAGACATGCGATGACTATATGCGTTACAGTTAAAAGTTTAGATTCAGATTCAGATCATATAGATTTTATCTACTAAGCAATTGGATGAAGTGTGAGAATATTTCAAAAATGCCTTTATGATGTTAGGAGTGGGATAGGAAGAGGTAAGCGAGATACTGACCTGTAATGATGGCGCCGTGAGACTTGGTGCTGCAGAGTTTAGACACAAGAATTGAACCGTCATCTGCAGTCTTGAACGTAGTTACAGTTTCGAAAACTCGGCCTAAACAACAAACACACTTGGGCTGTTAACAAACACGAGTTAAGCATGCAACTGAGGCCGCGAAAACGTGAGTTCGCCGCAAGAAGCTGTTTGCGATATTGAAGAGAGAAGCTTGAAGCACTTAATATTTTTATACCTTCAGTTTCAGCACTTAATGGTTCATCAAGGGACTGTTTTTTAATAGATTTACGCTTGGGCGATTTAAGATCTTCGTCTATTGGGATTTCTTCAATGGTTTCTGGTTTACTAGCTCCCTTTTTGGCTGTTTTTGGTTCGTCGCTAACTTCCTCTATGATCGGTTGCTTGTTATTTTCGTTGTGATTTTCATCCCAGAAGGATTTCTCTTCAATGATTTCAGGTTCAGTGAAAGATTTCTTGGCCTTTGACGGAGTCTGATCATCAAATTCTTCAACAATAGGTTTCTTTGCATCTCCATCTTCGATGTCATCCCAGAATGATTTTTCTTCGGCTTTTTCCGGCTCAGTTTTTCCTTTCTTAGCTTTCTGTTTGGCGCTGACGTCCACTTCGTCTACGATAGCTTGTTTGATCGCTTTACTTTCGTCTTCAAGTTCATTTTCGGTAGCAGATTCCTTGCTTAACCTCGAATGTACTTCTGTTGCTATTGAACATAATGAAATAATGGTTATGGTAAAAACAGGCTTTTTATTAAGAGAAGGTAATGTAATTAATATTGTGAAGGATGAAAAATGAAGTTAACAAAATGCAGGAGAGTGCATACATGTTCTGGGGTGCTTACAGCATTCAAGTCTGGAGGAATGCCGTGAATTTACTACCAGTTGCGAATGGTGTCTACGGGACATCACATCACAGCACAATAAATCTAATACGAGCATAATGCAGTGATCTAAACCATTCATTCTATGTTAAGACAAACAACTGTACCTATGTATTTTCCTGTGGTGTGCCAATTTGATGAAGTTTCTTTTGTGCATGTACGCGATCGTATGATACTGTCTTACCTATCTTGGAAATAGCTATAACTAATCCTATTTAGTATCTAAAGACAGGAATCACTAACTTCCTTTAGAGTACCTACCTACTGATAAAGTCAAGTTCGAGTTACTACTGAAGTTAGGTATATAAGAAGATTACAATTAATCTCTGATCTTTTGTTTGGGAGTTTGTATCTACAGTATGTCATTAGATTTTCTATGTAATCTCAACGTTTCCGAATAAAGGTTAAACCCGATTTTATACATTTATTTTATTAAAGTTTTGCCTGGTGACTAGTGTTGATATACTTACTGTGCACTGTGACGGTGCTCTTGGTGCTGACACTGCCCATCTCGTTCTCAGCCTTCACCTCGTATTCGCCACCGTCTTCCTCCTTCACCAACGTCACCGTTAGGTGATAGTTCTCTAATCTAGTAACAATTAATTGATGAAATAATAATTTTTTTTTACTGCTAGAATTTTATCAAGATTATAACCCTTGTCATAATTCTCACATTTTTTTTTAACTTTTTTATTTAACTTCAGATCAGTATATTCTACAGTCCTTTTTTTAGCTTTTGGTTTTCTATTATTAGAGCGCCCGAAGACTTTATAATTTATTTGATCAAAGTAACGTCTAGCCTAAATAATTAAAACACTATACAATGCAATCTCTGCGAAATATGTACTACACAAGTATTTTACCTCTGAGTATCCCTCTCAATCTTGACCCTAGCATCAAGCGTGATCTCCTTGCCGTCTTTGAACCACTTGACCTTGGGTTCGGGACAGCCTTCTACTTCAACATCCAGCTTGAGAGTCTGCCCTACGTCAACGGTCATGTCCACCAGGCTTTTGGTGAACCGAGGTTTTCCTACAAAAGTGAGAGAGTTGAATTAACCTATTATTGAAAACACCAATTATTTCAAAGCAATAATTAACCAGTTTAATTTTTCAAACTTACTGGGAGATAGGCAAAGAAAGATCCATTAAAAAAACTTACTGTTAACAGTGAAGGTAGCTTCGCAGGCATCAGCGCCCAATTCATTTGATACCTTGCAGGAGTACTTCCCAGAGTACTCGGCCGACACCTCTTTGAGAATCAGTTTGTGCGTGTTGCCAGTGTCCACTCGAGTGAATACCGATTTCTTTTCGGTAATTTCCACGTCGCCTAGGTACCTGTGTGAGGATTTGGTCATGACATAGTGGATCATAATGGAAACTGCTCAAGTCTGCAGGTAAGCAGCAGTTTGAAAGTCAGCGTAACGTGGTTCTGTACGTTTTCGAAAATATAATTTGGATTTAAATTTGGATATCTGGCTGAAACCAAGTTCGAGCGGTACAGGAATGTGATTCACTCGTCAATTTCTAGACTGATGCAATGCGGCTAAGATGAGTTTGCACTGGGAAAAATTCTGCTGTAATTCAGTCGATTGATCTACTAATGTTGGCATAACCATTTGATTTCATCCTTAGCTTGACCAGTCGTTTAGTTCGCTGGTCGTTTTAAAGCTGAATGATCTAATGATACTTACCACTTGATGGTGGGCTCAGGATAAGCCTCGACACTGACGGTGAACTCGATGTTAACATCGCCCTCCTTGGCGGTAATGTCTTTGAGTTTCTGCGTGAACATCGGTGCTGTTCGGACGTTCAACTTGCAAGAGTCTGAAGCACTACCGTGCGCGTTGCGGATCTAATTTAAAAAATACAGGTAACCATGATTTGCAGCTTTCATAACACACATGAATTGAAATTTCTTAATTATGAAGTCAACGGTTTGAATCCCTGAAGGAAAACGACGTGATGAAACCTGCGTGTCGAAGAAGGTTCATAGCCCTTGGAAAACGTGTTTAGTCATATTTATTAGTGTGGTGGACAATAGCAATAACCCTGTCGTTTGAGTCTCGTGCTGTGATTATGATGGGTTATTTATTATGAAGGAAGGAAATTATAAAGTAATTCATAAAGCGTATTTCGATGCAGCCGGTACATACCTCACATGAGTATTCTCCACTGTCTGCGCGCGCAGCCGACGTCACGACCAAGGAGTGCGCCTCGCCAGACGACGAGATCTTGATCGTGGAAGATTCCACCAACTCAGTTTTGTTCTTGAACCTGGACATTTATTTGTTTTAAAACTTACAATTAATAGTACAAGACAATCTATTTCAACCACACATTTTTTGCACATTGTGCGAGCCAGAAACGCTAACCTAGCAAACAATATACGATTTGACATTGATAGTTGCCGAGAGTTGTGAAACTACAACGCACTAACCTAGTCGAGCATTGGGCACAGATGTTTGTATTTGATGTCAAGTAATGGGACGTGCGCCTGGTGGTATGCAACACGTCTACCCGTAACAGTTGCACTGCCACTCAGGGCTTTGAATCGCAAAGATCTGAGCGGCATTGCCTTAACGTCGTCACCTTGGAACATAATGTTGACATTCCCATGTACTTGTAGTTTCACCAACACCCTTTAAAACCTGAACGCAGAAATAGGTACAGACAAACTTTTTCGGAAAGAACCTACTGCCGCTATTAAAAATAGATTTCATGTTTTATTTACTTTATAGCACCCCATTTCCTACTGATATAGTATAATAATAAAAGTAGTGAAATTAAAATTATGATTGTCCCCTCATTTTGAGGAAAAAAACCCTTGAACATCAAAGGTGTGTTATCTTCATAACGCTATAGGTACACTAACCATGTGACGTTAGGCGCGGGGTCGGCCTCAGCCTCGACCTTGAAGGTGACGGTTTCCTTCTCTTCGCAGACCTTGTCTGCACCCATCTTCTTGAGGATCTTCGGTGGCGATGTCACGTGCCACTGCCAGAAGTCTGAGCATTGGTTCACTTCGTTCCTGAAGATTTCAACAGAATTACCAAGGTATCGCAAAAAAATTCATATATCTTATTAGGGTTCATGTTAATATATCTATCTCAAGCGGTTGGAATTTTTAAAATAAATGTCAATTGATTCTAGATGAACGAGAACTCATAATGTGGCAGACGACTATACCAATTACCTTGTCTCAGACTAGGAAATTTCTTGTATCATAAGGATCATAACAACGGAATCAGACCTGGAGCACTACCCAGAACGCAAAGGCCAGAACCAACTTAGAAAAGTTATTTACCCAAATTGGTTTTAATCGAATTCGGAACCTCCTCATCTAGCGTCTACAATGCAAACCGTTCGACCACTCAGATAGCCAAAAGTTAGATGGAATGCCGTGGACTATAAGTCTTATTATCTTGTGATCTGAGGAACACCTCAGCCGATACGTACTTAATATGGAATAAATCCATGAGCTTTTTATTCTTACGGGCTTAAATTTGAAACCAAACTCACTTGGCTACGATGGAGTAGGATCCAGTATCAGTGAGTTTAGCATCCTTGATGGTGATCTTGTAAACCTCCTCACTCTCCTTCACGATGACGATGCGGTCGGAGCTCTTGATCTCGGTACCGTCCTTGTAGAAAGACACCTCGGGTGTGGGTGTGCCTTCCACCAAGATGGTGACTGTGTGAGTGCTGCCCACCTGGCAAATAAACGGTAGCAATCAGGATGAAGTCTTGCCATAGATGTCGTAAAAGCGGAAAATTAGAACACAGAATTTAAATTTACTCGTGTTTTATCAATTAAGGTCAACAGTCTGTTTCGTTTTTGACAAAACACAAGAAGGCATTTAGGAGCGTGACATAATTTCTTCAAGTCTCCAAAATACATGTTTTTTACTAAAACAGTCAAGTAAAACAGAAAGTAAACTCACCATACAAGTCTGGTTTTCAACCTTCTTTTTGATTTTAGGCGCGGCCTTAACGACAAGGTGCATTGTGGTGGAATCCTGTCCCAGTTCGTTGGACGCGACCACGAGGTACTCGCCTGCGTCGGCACTTGTCACATTCTTAATTACCAAAGACATGCTTTCGTCGTCTTCGTGCAAGAACCTGCGTAGGAGAAACAAATTGATTGATAAATAATAGTCAACCAAAAGTTCGTTTCCTAAATAGGTCTTACTGGATTCGGAACATCTTCATCTATCACAGCTCAATTCCAAGGTTATCAGCATATTTTTCAAAAATTAAATTAAGTATACCCGAAATCTCAAAAAAGTTTGTATCTTCATCGACTGGCTGCCGTCCAATGGGTTTTTCCGTTATGACCATTGATCGAAATTGAGGGGGTCATTGCATATAAAATTTCTTTTTTTACTGTTTATTTTCTGAACATTCCAGAATATAATTTGTTTCATGTTTATATTTATTTAAGTGCCTAGAGAAGAGCAACTATAATTATATTTTTTAAGACAATGCTTGATTTGTAGCAAAAACTTAACACAAATTTCAATAAATAATAAGCACATTTAAAAGTAATTAGCTCCGGAAATTCCCAGGATTTGTAGAAGGGAATGTCCCCGTTATTCTTTAGTTATCACTGGTTGCGACTAAGTAGAATAAAACAAGTAGGGTAACTCCGTAGAAAATAAAAGCACGGCTTGTATGTACGCAACACATTTCATATACCGTCACGCACATTTTCGCTTAACAATGAAAGGCGCGTTTGGACGACCAGTGTTATGCAATGCTAGTGCATCGCCAGGTTATGCAAATGTGTCCGTCCGTACACGGAGCGCTGCGACTTTTGTGTGGAGTTACCATACTTGTTCTTATGCTACTATGGTTATTATTTGTGATCTTAGGGACCGGCTGTATCCAAAGTGATCTCATCAGCATTCGAATTGTAATAATGGAACCAAAAATGCAGTTAGAATTATCACCGGTTTTCAGAAATCGTTTTTGTTCATAACAAGTCTTATTATCCGGAGTGTAGGTACTCACTTGTGTCTAGTATCAGCCTCGATGACTTTGCCATCATGTTTAAATACGACACTTGGCTTGGGGAAGCCCTTGCACTGCAGTTCCAGCATGGCGGAACCTCCGGCCGACACGATTGCTTCTCGGTGTTCAATGACCAGTGTCGGTTTTTCTGGCTCGCGATGTAGTTCGTGGACCGCGCCTAAGCGTAAATTATATACATTATTGTATACATATTTACTATTAGTATACACGATAGTATTTACATCTTTATAGACTTAGCCTCGAAAAGTGAAGACATACCATTTATACACTTGCCAATGGCGGAAAATAACAAATTAGAAATTTATATACACAGACATACATGTACATTAAAACACGTCATTCATAGAGAAAGAAAGATGGTGTTTGGCACTAAAGATATCCCATTCGTTCACCTAGCTTTTTTTTCTATCGGAAAGAATATTACAACTGCAACTGACTAATTATAAATAGATTTGTAGACGGAAAACATATAACACTCGACATAGCATTTCCAAAATGTGTAGAGTGCTTTCAGGCCGTACAGTGAAGGGCAATTGCTCAACGCTGCAGCCATTGGGTTTTCTGACCAACACCAAGTAGATGCACAACTAAACAACAATCGTGCAGAGGACATATTCTAACATTGAAGCCGACATGTAATATAGAAAATAATATTCAGTACGTCCGTAGCGAAATTCTAGCCGGAGTTCTTCATCGTGTCTTTTGCCCGCCTGGCCGTCTGTTAAATCACAATTTAGAATTTGTACTTTAAACACCAATCATGTACTAAAATTATATATCATAATTTAAACAGTTTTACTATATAATTAATGGATCGGTTTTTCACTCACATGTCAGTTAGCCTCAACTTACATTGTACATAGCAATATGTATGTGTTGTACATAGCATAGCAATGTGCTGACAAGTGTAGCCGAAAAAACAACATTTGTAAAAACTGGTAAAAGTAGTAGTAACCTTCATTATATCCTACCTTGTACTGTGAGCTCTGCAGAGCAAGAGATATTGCCTGTGCTAGTTTTAGCGACGCAGGTATAGAGTCCTGCATCTTCCGGCTTCACATGCTGGAAGACCAGCGCTAGGGAATCTTCATCATCACCTAATAGCACCTGATGGTTGAAAAGTCTTGACTAAGTATATTATCACCTAATACGAAGGTACAATATTTTTCTCTAAACTGTAGTATATTATCCTATGGCAATCAACAATACGTACAATGCATTGGTTAACTATGAACATTAGTCTTACCTTAAATCTCTCTTCAGGATCGAAGGCTTCTCCATCCTTCTTCCAGGAGAAGGTAGGTTTCTCCCCTTTATTTAGTAAGCCCTCACCACCGGGAGCTAGCTCGAAGAAGATGTTCTTGTCGTCTGATTATGAACGAAGAAATATGTTATTTTTTATTAAATGTCCAAACGAACATTTTTTTAAAAGTCACTCTCACAGCCCCCCCATTAGAGATAACCTGTGTCGTGGGTGCCAGGAACAAAAACCAGTAATTATACCCAAAGTCACGAGAGAAATAAATGTAGGCCAAACAAATGTTTCTCCCGGTCCGGAATCGAACCCGGGACCTCACCGTCGCAGTCCAGCATGGTAACCGTTCGGCCACGGAGGCAGTTAATTAAAAAAAAAATCAAAAAATGATTATTCAAAATACAGTCGACATAAACTTTTTTTTTGAGTTAATTAATAAAATAAGTTAAGAATTACATCTATGTGACGAGTTTTATTGAAATCGGTTAATGGAAAGTGGATGAAATTTAATTAACCCTATTCATCACCTAATTAGCCACCCTTACACCCTCACAAAATGTAAACGCGTAACATATACAAAAAATACAGTCGAATTGAGGATCCCCTTTTTTGAAGCGGTTAAAAAGTTATCGACGAATTTCGTTAGAAGAATTTTTAAACCTCTGCTGAAAAGTTGTAATTTTTCAGATGTGATTTTATGACAACAAGCGAATTTAGTAATCTATGTCGAAATCTGAAAGGTAATTTTTAAAAAATATCGAGCACGGGATGATCGAGACCTGGTGGTAAACGTCACACCAGTGCATAGCAGTTGCAGTATCTTTCGAAGCTTTCAATCGCAAAGATCTGAGGGGCACTGCTACTGCCCCTGTCACCGTGAGACATAAGTCTACAAGTCCCATATGCCTATAATTTCACTAGCACCGTTACCCTTCAAAACCGAAATGCAAATAATGCTCACTAATATGAGCATTAAACGACAGTGAGCATTTCGGACAAAAAAAGCATTTTTTTGTGATTTTTAATAATAAATAATTAACTATTAGACATCATATACGTTGCTCTGATCCCAAATAAGTAGCTAAAGCACTTGTGTTATGGAAATAGGAAACAACAGCGGTACCACAAACACCCAGAGCCGAGACATTATAGAAAAGTACATTTTCTAACACTGACCCGGCCGATGAAAAACGGTGTGCAAAGCACTCGACTGCGGCGGTCGTCATGCTCTTGGAATATATAATGCGTTGATGAAAATGTAAAATATCTACTAGATGCGGCGTTCCATACACACAATGTGTTTCATTGATGTACGGTTCCGGCACAACACTTCATTTAGTTGGTTGTCAAACATTCAAGATGGCGGACGCAGATGCGGTCCTTTTGAAAAATTAACAGCCATGTAGGCTGTGTTGCTCCAATTTTGCTATTTGACTAATTGTGTTAAATAAATTTAAAGTTTCAAATTACTCACATTGACTCGGTAAGTAATGTTGTGGTTATGGATTGTCGTATCTCGACTCATCCAAAGAACAGAATAAATACATAATCTCGTTATTCGAAATAAGGCTAATCCATAGGTGTTTTCAGAATTTTTGTATCATATTTCGTTTCGGAAATATAAAATCGAACAATAGTCAATCTAATAGCCACAGCCGAGAACAACGAACGAAATATACAATGTCCTGAGAATAAGCAGTCTTGTACATAGGTCTTTGTTCTATGGATGAGTCGATCTGTCCACGGTACTACGGTACTGATTCTCTTTGACAATATTTTACAACAGTGATAGTGTTGTTTGGAACAGAATAGTTTCTGTGAATGTTCTTGTCTATACGTAGATTGAAGTCCACGAAGGCCGTCAACGTCACGCCAAGGTAACGTTGTAGTTCTTCCCTAGACGAACTCTTTCACAAGGAGCTCTACTACTACTAGTGATTTCATAATGAAATCTTCGGAATTTGAGGATTTTATCAAACTCTAAATTCTAATTTGAGCAACTAGATATTATTAGCGAAAAACACTCGTAAACAAACGCTGGAGTGTATCCAAAAGTATAAATAATAGCGAGATCTATGCCACATCCGTATTTAAAGTTGTTACGTCTGTTTTCCATTCATTATCATATCATGTTTTCGGATACATTAAATCGTGGAATAATTGGATGTGATACAATGTTCAGGAATGTTTGTAATACGTTAGAGTGAATCATGCATTATAATTTTAGAATGCACTTTTGGTAGCAGACGTGGGAGTATTACTAAAGAAATTTATTGTCTTACAATTCTTGTATAATTATATAGCTTTTCACAGTTTGCAACTAAAATATGAATCATAATTAGATGTCCAAAATGCAAACAAAACGGATAACAGAGCAAAAAAATTATTAAATGGTAGTTTTTAGCTATTTTTGACGAGACAAATGTTTAGTACTCTTTTCAAGCTGTAATCTGATAGAACTTAGAACAATTCACATTGTACAATAGATATATCGACGCTTGAAAGGCAAAATGGGATAAGTTACACTTTTGGTCATTATTGAGTTATATATATATATATATATATATATATATATATACCATATATATATATATATATACCATTGTAATTAGGTAATGTTTCTGATTCCAACGGTATAGATAACTGAATATGACCCAAAAGTGCAGCCTATCCCATTTTGCCTTTGAAGCTTCAATACATACTCGTATATATTTTTTCTACTTCTGTGAAATACAAGGGGTAATTGGCCACTTACCCATATTCTAACTCTTTGGTTTTTTGTTTTGTAGCCTTTATTTCACTTTCGTTTAAATTTAAGAAGAGGCTGTATGGTGGAACCTTTGACTGCCCCGATAAATGGCTCAAAATTTATTTTAAAATATGCGTTTTGTTGTCATGGATTGTTATCCAAATGTATACGTATTAAATATTGGTTCGCTTTCATGCCGCGATTGTGTAAAATACTATTACTTAATTACGTTTAATACGATATTGTTAATATAAGACTATTTTTAATTCGTACGAGATTTTAAGATTTTAAAATTATATAATGATTTACAAGCATTACAATACTTTTTCTGCGAGTAAATAAAATAATGAAACACAACCAATACAGTTGACAATCAATGTTATACAAAATTAACCGAAAGCAAAAAAAAACAAAGAGATTGAATATAGGTAAGTGGCCAAGTACCGCTTATATTTTAACAAATCATTATTTTGTTATAATTATTAATACAAAGATCGACTACTCAGAAAAAATTCCTTCGATCCGGCCGGATTTGAACTGACGTCTTCTAGCTTACCGTGTCAGACGCTATACCAACTAAGCATCTCTCGCCAGGACTGGTAACTGTAAAGGTACTAATTGGGTGATAAATCTTTCATAGATTTCTCATAGATGGCGCTACGATTAAAAACTCGTTGAAAAAACCAAATACAAAGACACGACGCAAGCACATAGAAGAATTCGTGAGGTCCGCTGGTTCGTTCCGTTGCTGCGAATGCGGCGACAAAAAATTTAAAATATTAAAAAAAAAAAAAGGTTTATGGCCCAGTTGCAAGACCTTTAGTCCAACTTAACCAAACAAGAGACAGTAGAGCATTTGAGTAGCGTCATATTATTTGATATTTTAATTAGGAAAAATACGATGTACTTTTTTGGAACTCATTATAGTTCTGTGTACAGAACTATAATACACGTTATTGTTCTGTGTTCATAATGAAATTTTTCAGTTCAGTAGCGAGTACCATAGACGATAGAATTTTGATTCAGAATTAAAAAGAGGGCCTTTGTGATATGGTTTAGGAAATTATAATTGACAGATGAAAGTACAGGAGTAGAAAAATAATTGTATGACACTGGTAACACAATCGGGATCAATAACATTAGATTCGCTCTGGACCTTTTGGAGGGAAAAGTGTCGTTTTTATTTTGACTTTCAATTATTTTGTGCAATCTAGTATAAAGTGGAATAGGATAGTGCTATTGTGCCTTAATCGAAGATTAAAACGCGAAATTATACGAATCTCGAACTAAAATACCCGTATCGGCCCGTTTTAAGGAATCCCGAGTCAATCCAAGCACGCCGCCTCAAATTGCCTATCCTCTTTGTGGCGGCCATATTTACAGAAACATAATTAAACTTCATGTTTAGGCTGATGGCTTTGCCAATGCCTTAATAAAGAAAAAAAAAAAAATCAATAACATTGTTTGTGCCGCCATTTTGTCGTGTTATAGATGTTATTCGTGCGTCGTTTCTTGAACTCGAATGTTTTCTTGTCTCCGTAATGAGGTCTTTTAAATTATTGTGTGTTGTTGTTAAAGTTATTGTTTCTATTTGCTAATAGATATTTAGAATTTTAGAAAATGAGAATCTCTTTCTTTTCCAATTAGGAATATTATCACACCATCGTTCATACTTTGGAAATTTCGTTTCTTTGTTTGCATTTTGAACATTTAAATAAGATACATACTATAAAATTGGATTACGACCATTGACTTACAATTATATGGACGTCGGGTCCGCGCTAAAAAGTGTCCGAACTTATAGGGCGTTATAATCGTATACAGAGCGTCATTCACGCTTTAGTCTTCGTTTGTTCGACTGACAGCGAAGCAAGCAAAATTAGACAGTACTGCGATGACATTACAATTTAAATTCAACCTTTTAGCTTTTTCATATTCCTTTACATGTCACTACGTTTAAATAGGTTGACTTGGGTGATTTTTTTCGTGGTTTTTGTATTAGACCCGTCGTCCATTTATTTGTAAGTCAATGATTACGACTGTTTTTCTAAGCAACTGCATTTTGGGTCACCTTGAAAGTATACTGTTATCATGCCTCGCCGGCTCTGCTGTCGTCAGCTTCGACACGATTACAAAACCAATAAATTTCGAACTTCACGACTACTTACCAACTACAGTGACAACGGCTTCGCTTTCAACTTCTCCATAGATGTTCATAGCTTTACAGGAGTATTTCCCTTTGTCTTCGTGGCACACGTCGGCGATCACCAGCTCGTAGCATCCCCTGTCGGCGCGGGTTCTCACGATCTGGATGCGATCTGTCTCCTGTCTAGATACAATCTCTTTGCCTTCGCGGTAGCTGGGTGTAATAAACATTGATGTTAATTACTTGTATAGTAAATTGTTGGTTTACTTAGATATATATTTTTAACTTTTTTTATCCGCTCACGCGATACATGCAACCGTAGACGCATACCACACCTAGAGTGTCGGTGATGGTTTTATACCGATTTATCGGATATCGATGTTATAACAGGTAAAAGAACTAATATTAATTGCTATTTCGGTAACTACTCTAGCAAACCATAAAGTTTTTAATGCCTGGGTCTGTCATTAAAAAAAAATAAACAACTTCAAAAATACGTCACGACAATCGTGTGTGTTATTGTTTGGGCTGGTGATTTCGGTGTTTATTTATTCAAAACATACCGTAAGTAGCGTTTTTTAAGTTTACCCTGAATATAAATGTTTACAAACTATACTTTAAGGAGTAATTTCATGGTAAACGTTAGAACAACTCAAACGGAATATTATCATATTTATCCAAGTACACCAAAAATTTCATTAGTGCTTTTTAAGTGCAGGATTGGCGGTGTATTACTGCATTTTATTTGAGATGTTTTTGTTGGTAGTACGGAGGGTATTTATTTAGCAATGCAGAATAATAATTTTTATTTATAAAAACTTGTATTTGAAATGAATCCTTTTCTATTTTGCGAAACCAAATAGCCGCCATTTTGCGGTAGGAGGAGCGCATCGCGTGAGCGGTTAAGATACCAAGTTACGTTAAGCGACACGTCTGTCTAGAGCAGTTGCTGTGTCATTCAGAGCTTTAAATCGCAAAGATCTGAGGGCCACTGTCACTACGCCTTTCATCCTGAGACATAAGTTGACAAGTCCCATGTGCCTGTAGCTTCACCAGTACCCTTACCCTTTCTAACCGAAACGCTGTAATGCCCACATTACCGTTTGGTAGCAGAAATTGGTAAGATTACATGGAAGTTTGAGGTTTACAAGGAGCTCTACTGCTATAAACGATACCTAAAAATGCTTAAACGGATAGGTCACGTTTATGAAGTCATACAAGCACAAGACTCAACAGAAGTTAGTCTTAGTCTCTAGAATTGTAATAAAGTCCTGCTCGCTTAGTAGCCACAGTAAAGTATGAAATATAATTCTAAGTCTAGTAGGAATTTATTTCACTAATTATAAATAGAGATGTGAATTAACGGGTACTCACAACTTAACCTCCGGATTAGGATCACCTTTCACTTTCACCATGAAGCGAAGGTAGGTGTTCAAAAGAATTTCAGTGTCCTTCAGAGCTACCACGAAGTAAGGAGCATTGAGGGCATTTTTAGCTCTACGTTCTTCAGGTGTCACTGTTCAATTGTAAATAAAGTATGTTAACATTATGTAAGGCAGATTTCAGCAGAAGGGAGACTTTGACATACAGACATTGCATAAAGTGAACAAAAAACTATAAAGGTAACAATCAGAGATGGGCGGTGAGCTCAAACCCAATCAACCCGCCCGAGCTTTAACCGGGTTTTTACTCAAATTACCGGGTCTTAACTAATTTCTGCCCAAATTCGTAATCGGAAACGGTGAATAGCCACGGAATTTGGTATAAATCCATACTTATTATAAATTTCGATGTAAAAAATCTTTTTTACACGTAAAAGAGACAACTCCGCGCAATACCCACCTTGCAACCCTCATTATTAAGGGTGCAGATTACAATTCGATTTTTATGAAGATCGATTCAAGTGCATGCGATTCGATTTTTTCGAAGCGAATCGATTCCATATAAAGGCAAATCGAATCGTCTGGATCAGAAAGCAAAAAAAAAACATTTTGTAATAATAATTTAAATTTAAACAAAACTCGAGTTACAACAAGTATTTAGTTGCAAATAGTTTATGCCTTCGATTTCGGGCGTTAATGAGTTTTAACCCGATCCCGGCCCGTATCCGTTAAAACCCGGACGTTTGATCATTATCACAGAATCTTGCACTCTTAGGTACATACGAAAATACTGGCGAAGGAAATCTGAAATTTCGTAAAGGCAACGAAACAAAGATGTTTCTTGTAATATTCTAGATAGGCATGTCACAAGTTTATAGCAGGACAGATACAAGAACTAAATACAGCACACATACATTTATAACTAAGACAAAACATTAAACTACGTAATACGTGGCTATGTCAGTGCAAAATACAGGAAAATTAGGGAGAATACTGACAAGTACAAATCTGATACCACTACGACATAATAGACGTAGTTAACTACGACTACGTGTTATGAGCTGTAAAATGTCTTAATTGGTGATTTCGCCAAATCATGCAAATTACAGAGATGTAGTAGAGATAGATCTAGAACTTAAATAGAAATATAAAAATATCTTTGTATCTTTGTAAATAATGGCGCATTTACACCAAGTCGTCTACCTCCTTCGGCAGGCTACTTCGCCTTGCCGATGCTGGGTGCATCATTTCGGCTGTAAACTATGGCCATCAGACGGCTCACTATATGAATTGGGTAGCTTGCTGGCTTCGGCGGGCAAGTGAACGTAGCCTGATGACTTCGTGTAAATGCGCTGTAACTTAAAAGCGCTAGCTGGATTTGCTTAGTACGTGTAAATGGATACTGGCAAATCCAACTAGCTTCAAAACTATTCCTAGAAAGAAAAAAGACAACTTACATTCGTGGACGACTAACTGTGCAGTACAATGGGCGTTGCCTTTAAGATTTTCAGCTCTTGCTGTGTACAACCCTGTATCGTCTTCCCTGCAGTGCATGATCTCCAGTTTAGTGGTACCATTCTGTGTCGACACGTTTACACGGTCCATCAGTTTGCCTGGGAATGGCTTGTTGTCCCTAAGCCAAGTAACTTTGACGTCCTCGTATTCGCGAACGGAGCATTCGAAGACGGCGTTTTCACCCGCTGAAGATTCAAACATTGGTTATGGAAGAGTTTGTAAGAGTTTGTCGGTTTCTTTGCCATTTGTTGGTTACTTTACGTTTATAAATATTAAGTTACATAAAAATGTGACTTAGTTACTGTATAAATTAACCGAATAAAGGATTTTAGATCCTAAACCAAACAATTTCATTGCAAAATGTATAAAATTGTACCCCACAAACTCTTTAATCGTAACAGATACGAAACTTTATAAACACAAATTATAGAATATTATACAGATAAAGAAGTATTTAGGAGTGAAGCGTGGTTAAATTAATGTGTTGTGTATGTTAGAATCTAAAAGCGTATGTACAAGCACTAATCGTGTATCTACTTCTATCGTGTTTTTTTATTTATATCCACTTACGTTCAATGTTCTGGCCTTCTAAAGTCTTAGAAAAGACTGGTCTTCCATCTTGAGACTCGGATTTAGAAACAGATTTGACGGTTTCAAATTCTTCCGTCACAGATCCATTAGAAAGAGCCTTTTTGGCATAAGTGCTCTCTAAAGAAGACGCTCCATTCTTGCTTTCATAAGTAGACTCTATTTTAGTTGACATCCCTTCAATTGCGATCTTGCTGTTGTCATAGTCGACTCCGTACTTGGAGGTACGGTCGACAGTCGTGCTATCAGAGCTTCCGATTCCATATTTGGACGCTATATTGTCCAGTTTGCTGGACGTATCATATTTCGATTCATAGCTGGATTCAAGGCCGTACTTGGATCCTCCTTCGGCCCTTGAACTCGAGTATTTGGACTCGTATGAAACTTCTTGAGAGCCACCCGTTTCGTACTTTCCGCTTTCAAGGCGTGAACCGCTTTCACGACGCATGTAAGACGAAGAACCGGTGCTTTCATAGCCGGAAGATGACTCGTAGCGACGCGTACTATTTATGCTGCTGGAGTATTCTGTAGAAAAACAAAATAAATTGGTAAACTGTTACTATTTTAAGAAATTGTAATCTTCGTGCCTACGAAACGAACCTCCAGAAAGCCGCGAACTGCGGCTATACCGCGACATCTCGTCACCAGCTTCCTCTGCGGTTACAGCTTGATCGTTGGCACTGACTTTCTCACTGAACTCGCCACTGGCGCTAACTTTATCAGAGTCGACAATTTTTATTTCAGATTTTATTGCACTTGCTTGTTCTGTTGCTGCTTGTTGCTGAACAGATTTACTTTCAGTTGTTTCTGGGCTAGCTTGTACGGTCTGCTTAACAGATTTGTTTTCAGTTTGTTCCGCACTAACTTGTATAGTTTCCTGAACAGATTGACTTTTAGTTTTTTCTCCACTAACTTGTGCTGTCTGCTGGATTAGTTTACTTTGGGTTTCTTGCGCGCTAGCTTGTACTGTTATCTGTTGAGCCGATTTACCTTCGATAGAAGCTTTCCTAGCAGCTCTTAATTGTGCTAAAGATTCTTCTCTTGTTAATAGTTGTTCTTTTTCAATAGCCTTTTGTAACTGTTCTTCTCTTGTAACGACTTGCTCAGATTTTTCAACAGCCTTTGCTTGGTATTCAGTTTTTTGGACAGTTTCTTGGGTTTTTACTTCAGAAGATTTTTGTTCCACTGAAGTTTGATTTGTTTCTTTGACAGCTTGTGTGGAAAATGTTTGCTCAACTTTTTTATTTGATTTTACTTCAGAAGATTCTTGTTCTACCGAAACTTGAGTTGTTTCTTTGACAGCTTCTGTGGTAAGCGTTTGCTCAACTTTTTTATCTGGGCTTTGTGATGTTGTTTGTTCGATTGATGTAGTGACTTCTTTTGGTTTATCTACACTAGCTTGTTGTATAGTTTGGGTTTTTTCCTTTGTTGCTTTTGCTACTGATGTTTCTTGTACTGACGCCTTGGTCTTTTCTACAGTCGACGCTTCGGATGTTTTATATTCAACTTTTTCTTGAGTTGTTTCTTTGGCTTTGTCAGTTGCAGTCTGCTCTGTCTTTTGTTCTACAAATGTTACTTGAGCAGACTTTTGATCAAGTGCTGTTTCTTGTGATGTTATTCCTTCGGTTTTCACAAGTTGTTCAACAGTTATTGCTTCCTGTTCAACTATTGATTTTTGGGACTGTTGAACTGATGAGTTTTGCGCAGTTTGTGTGACTTCAACAGATGTTTGTTGGACTGAAGATTTCTCTTCTACATTAGTTTGTGTTGAGGTTTTAGATTCTTTGACCTCTGTTTTCTGCTCGGAAGTAGCTGCAAGCGTCTGTTGTTCGGAAGTAGCTGCCTGAGAAGACTCAGTCTTAGTAGCAGTCGCAGTCACAGATGATTTAGTAGATAAATCAACTCCGCCCTTGGATACTGATTGTACTTCACTAGAGACCTCAGTGACTGCAGATTTAGAGACTTTGGTAGCAACTTCGCCTTCAGCGGCAGATTTTCTTTTGGTTGTTTGTGTCTCCTCTGTAGAAACTTCGGTAACTTTTTCTTTTTCGACTTTGGTACGTTTCTCCTGTACGACCTCTTCTTCTTCGTGAACCCGCTTTTTCTTTTCTTCAGGTTCAGGAGAAGTAACTTGAGGCGGTGATAGGACTTGAAGATCGTCAGCTGCGTGTTCTGCTAGGGCAACTGTAACGAAAGAATAATTACAGTAATTCATAGAATTTTAGAAAGAGCAAGTCCCCGACCGACTTCCAGTGAATATTCTTCAGATTCCATTGAATTCATTATATTGTTTACAAGTCTATTTAAAAACTAGGTACTTATTGCTATAATTACTTTGACAAAACAATGCTTACCAGCATCACTAGCGTACTGTCTGATCTCAGCCAACCATGCAGGCTTGACAGGTTCTTTATGCGCAGTAAGAGTGACCCCGTACGAAGTCGCCTTGTGACGTAATTCAAACCTGAACTTGTCGTCTGTATGGTCCTTGACTTCGACTTCTGGTAGCTGAAAAGAACATTACGTTGAGGTAATACAAACCGTATTTGGATGTAGGCCAAAAGAGAAATAACCACTGTTTACAGGATATTTTTGGATTGCAAAATTTGGCTTCAAAGCTGTTGTTTTGTAAATACGAGTAAATGACGTGACGAGGTAAGTGTTACTTGAAATTTATTATTATACCACATTACACGTAATGGTTGTTTCAAGTGACAAGTGTATACACTCAATGTATTGCTCTTGCAGTGTGAAAATGTCTGAAGATTATTTCGTCAATTTAGGTAACGGAGAATGAAATTATTATCTCATTTGCAAAATCTTATTAACAGTTATTTTCAAAATAATATTATGACGGCATGGTTATTCTCGGTTATGTATAAATAATTCTATATGAAAAAGGAGGTGTTGCCAAGTGACCACTATTCTCATCGCAATAAAGAAACAAATGCAGACATTTTTAAGGAGCAATAAAGTTAACAAAAGCCAAGTAAATTTTATAATTTACAGTGAAATATATTGCAAAAGAAACAAATTTATCGGATTTTAAATCGTTTAAGAAACAAACTCTAAGAAACAAAACTGGTAATTGAAAAAACAAATGCAACCGATTTAAGATCTGAAAACTTTGTTTAACTTTCAATAAATAGCAATCTCAAACAGCAGTAAAGGATACGTTGAATGTATATACTATGTTTTATTAATATTATGTACCTTAACAATATCTTTAAGAACGAAGACAGAACGATCATCCGAGACTCTTTTGACTTTGCAAATCAAAATTCTCGCTTTGAAAAGGAACAGATATCTTTCTTTAGGCTTTCCCTCGGTGTCGGTGACAGTAAACCAGTCATGGGTGAGCAACCGGCCAAGTTTGTAGATATTCCCTCGATATCCTTCGATGCTCGCTATAAATTTGTTGTCGGTGGCTCGGTTGGGTACGCCGAGGAAGAGTTCTAAGGCCTTCTGGAGGTCGGTTGCGTCTTCACCGAGGCGTTTGGTGTATTTTACTAGTTCCTGTGAATGAGCAAAAAGATTTATTAACATTTGTGTGTTCTTAAATTGTTAACTGTTTATTCGGATCTAAATTGTATGTAAATTGGAAACTGTTTCTTGGTAAATTTAAAATAAAATATAAATAAAAAAATCACTTCGACATCAATCTATCCGTTTGGAAGCTATAATGCCACAGACAGACTGATACGTAAAGTTTAAAAAATATAACTTCTATATTTTTACGTCGAGGTTTAAAAAAATATAAAACAAGATAAAGGTACGTGACGTCAATTATTAATTAGGTACTTTTTTTATTAGAAAACACCTACCTCAAAACTTTGTTTATCGGTTTTTTATTTTAATTATATCTGTTTTGCTAAGTTTTTACTGAAATCGGTAAACGGAAACTGCGCGAAACCAGGTTCATCCCCTAGTTTGCACCCATAGAAGTGGAATAGTTTCTTCAAATTTAAATAGGATCAATACTGAGGTACCCTCTTTCGGTAAAATCGGTTCACAATCGCGTAACATGCACATAAAAAAAACCAGCCGAATTGGGAACCTGCTCCTTTTTTAAAGGCGATTAAAAATATGCAGAATACAGGTGTGTATATTCGGCTATAGAATATTGTGTCGTGTGCACAGTATATCAATTTTATTATGACGTTGTTAATGATTAACAGTATTTAATTAGTCATAAGTCGTCACCTTGTAGCACTTCGATTAAACACACGTATATTTATAACCGTCTGCTGTTTGTTCACGGAATCATATAATAATCAGCTGCGTTATATTTAGTACAGTATGCCATTTCACTGAATAAACAACCTAATTTGTTTTGCCTTGATAACAGCCGGTGGATTGTTGCTGCTATGAAATTACAAAACACTGTACAGGGACTTGCAGTGTTTTGGTTTGACATGGTAGACCACTAGATGACACATAATCTCCATAGATGACCATAAACAGCGCCACAACATATTTACAGGAACGCTCAATTATATTTTGAATTACGATAACAATGTTCATAGGAACCACAGACCGTTTAATCGAAATGAAAAGGTGGATCAAAGTCATTCTTTTTCAAATTAAATTTTCAGGCATATGTGGCCAATGGTTACTTTATGAACGTTGTTATCGTATAGCAGAACCGTGACCATGGGACTTATAAAGGACCTGAAACGTTGGTTTGTCGACTATCAACCGTGACCATAGGATTGGTAAAGAGCCCGAAAAGTTGGTTTGTGTGAAAAAACAATTATACGCGATTTAAATCCGGGGTTTCATTTCCTATTGCAATCGCGAAAACCTAAGAACTCGATATGTTGTTATCGTAGTTCAACCTCATTGATAAACGGTACATACCAACAAGAGATCGTATTATGGCGCTTCTCTTTAAGAATTAGGTAGTCAGTATTCGTAATTTATTTCTAATCACATTTAAGTAGCAGTAGCGCTCCTTGTGAGAGTTCGTCCAGGGAATTACTGCTTACCTTTTGCCGCCAAGCAGTAATGCGAACATTACTGCGTTCCGGTTTTGAAGGGTAAGGGTGCTGGTGAAATTACAGGCACATGGGACTTGTCAACTTATGTCTCAGGATGTCGGGCGCAGAGGCAGTGCCTCTCAGATCTTTGTGATTTAAAATTTTGAGTGACACTGCAACTGTTAGGGATAGGCGTGGCGCTTACCACTAGGCACACAACTTGTTCACCCCGTCACTTAGTATTATAAAAAATTTAAAAAGTCACAGTTCCCTTTACACAGTCACTCTATCGCGTGTGATCAGGAGCTTATAGGATTGGACGCGGGAAAGCCTGCACGCGCAATATTGCACGATTACCTGTTTGAAATTTCTTAAGCTAATATTCTTCCGCGCGCGATTGCTCGTGTTCGTTTTTGTTCCAACGGAATGAGTGTCCGTGTAAAAGTGAGTGTGAAACTAGCGCGTGTTGGAGTGCGCAATCGCGGTCTTTCCCTTTTCCTTCGAACGTGTTTACACGCGCGCGCAATTACGCATGATTTCTGTATCACGCGCGATAGATTGTCATTGGTGTTATCAAAGGTACATATAAGAGCTTGACTACAATGTGTTGGGCTATCGTGAGAGAACGGTCCATATACTAGGCTATCCTAATCGACATAAAGATGAAATATCAAAGTGTATTGGAATGATGTAACAAAGGGTAGTCTTCATCAAGACATCTTTGCGTCGATGAGTCAGTAAATAACTAAGTATTTACAACATACAATGCGTTTGTACGTTGTAATCTGAATACTTCGTGTGTTGTCATTTTTGTAGTCTGTTTTATAGGTCGTAAGTTGTCATTATTCATCTTAAAATCTGGAACCCTTCGAATATCATTTTCTACGTTATAATTTCCACCACGGAATAGGATAAACCAAAAATGCACAGTGAGTTCCAATGTTAATGTTTCAAGTCGTTTAAACGAGTTATAAAGAACATCATACGAATTTTAACAGTATCCAAGTTTAATTTCAAAGCGAATGCAAAATTAACGTAAACAAATGAATAATGCGAAAATTTTAAAATAGAGGCCTTGACTGGAGTACATAAGAAGAAAAAAGACTTTTCTCGAACATGCTAGGAAATGTGTTAAATGTTAAATGTGCTAATTTGTCAAAAGCAATGCTTTGAACAAATTAAGAGCCTGATTTAAAAAAAAATTGATAATAAAAAATAAATTAGTGCCGGACCTAGACCGGGAAATCCGTATGGAAACCCGCTACGCTAAACTTTTGAATACTTAACCCGCGCATACCAAATTGAAATGACTAAAGAAACGGCAAACGTCCGAGGTAGTGACCTGTTTAGCTATTCTCGATCTAAGATGTTCAAATTAAATATTGTAATGAGAACTGTATTCAATTATATTTACAAAGAGCAACCCGCAAGCAACAGCTAGAGAGTTTTTAGCTCATTCTTCTCAGGGGAATCTGTCTTACGAATGAGCAGAGTTTAATCAGTATGACGATTTCAGGAGTAATTTGCTTACCTATGAAATAAAGATTATTTGACTTTCGCTTTGACTTTGAAAAATGCTATGCAGCCAAGTCCATCCCTTATTTTTTTTTTGATACAGTGTGTGTGAGTGTGAATTACAGAAAATCACCGCTTGTTTGCGCTCTATACTTTCTTAGTCTTAATGCGCTTCTCGTATCTGCTCCAGACTGCGATCTTTTTGCAAATAGGCGGCTGGCTGTGTGATGAATATTTGAGGTTTTGTGAGAGTATTGGTCAGCATATTCTGTCTTCTGTGTAGCAGAACTTCCCTGAACGAAAACTTTTTTAAGGCTCTTCTGAAGGGCTGCGCCGCGCGAGCTCGTGCCAACGCGCCGTGGGAAGAGTTTTTAACCCGAGCGTGCCCGTGGTCGCTCGTGGTCGTCTGTTTTTGGATCCGCCGTGTGTCGGTAACTTTAAAGGCGTGAGCTCGCCCATAGTCGCCCGTAGGCGGCTTCCCACGGCCCGTTTTTACAAGGAGCTCTACTGCTATTAAAATTTTAGGATATTTTTAGCTATATGGAGTGCCTCTTATTCTTCTTTTTTTTTTAAACAGTTATAGCTCTATCGATGCAATCGATAATTCCGCCAAAGGAAAACACGCGTTTATTACTAAGAATTGGACGGGTGATTGTCGATGGCAGACTTTACTGAGAACAGAATCTACAACAACACAAACATTTACAGACCTCTGTAGTTGAGTCATAGTTTAATTGGACATGTTTTTTAATTTTTAAGTTTATTGAATGTCACGATCTTTGACCACCATGATATTCAATTATTTGTGAAATTACTCCACTAGTTTGTATTATTAATATAAGGTGGAACACTAAGAAAAAGTTCCTTCGATCTGGCTGGATTAAAACCAACGTCTTCCAGCAAACTGCGCCAGACGCTATGACAACTAAGCTACGACCTTACAAATTTTTCTATGTGCTTTTTGCAGTACTTTGTTTTTGGTTTCTAACGATGCAGCGACGTCTGTGAGAAATCTGTGAAACCTTTTCTTCACTCAGCCAGCCATGTTTTTATTGTCTCTTTTTATTTTATTAGATGTGAATGTAACTTTGTTTAGGACGCCATAACAAACATGTAAAAATAAAACAACTCGCAGACAGTTCAAAAGCGGGTGTAAAACATCAGACAGTTTCAGCTGTTAATTAAATAGTACATCTTTTTTTCATATTTTCAATAACAGCAGGGAAGTGTGCGAATCAGAAAACGTCAGTGTCAAACAAAATATTTGGCACGAGAAACAGGTAATGTTTTGTTGAGAATATTACGGTTGTCTGCACCATTCGCAGGACTATATTACTACATATACCTAATTAAGTACAAACTTTTGGACGTATGTAGCCCACAACAGTGTCTAATGGGATTTATCCCTATGTATATGACGCGGAGAGCGGTGTCAGGGCGGACCCGCGCACGGCGCGCCATAGACGCGCGTTTCTTACGCAAAGCGATGTCAAAACCGTCCACACGCGCGGCTTCAAACATCCCTGTTGCGATACAGAAAGGAGGCAGCCCCATCAACACCCGGAACGCGTTACGTGAAACAACGTTCATTAATTTTTATAACCACGGAGACTGCTGATGAGCTGGACGATGGAGCTTGCACACCTAAATAATGCCTATTCACTCTCGCCTTGAAAAGGCCCAAGTTATAGTTATGCGAATCCTTGGAACATTAACATCATAAGGGTGGAAACCCAATCTATGTCTAGTCTCTCGGTAATGGAAAGTAGAAGGCGGAATTAAATTGTACAACTCCATCGCACACTCTCTGTGCCACGTCGTCGGCTGTAGTGCAAGTACGCACAACTAGCCTTTGATTAGGAGTCGGTAATTTAGTAGCCAAATCAAATTCGCTTAAATGTTATGGTAACCAAATTAACGTGATTTACGGGAATCTATTGTTATCAGTCCGTATACACCATAAATTAATGCTTATTGTGCAAAAATGAAAATCGTAGCCATTTAAACATTGACTTACAAATAAATGGACGACGGGTCTAATACAAAAACCACGAAAAAATGTCCCAAGTCAATCTATTTAAACGTAGTGACATGTAAAGGAATATGAAAAAGCTAAAACGAATTGAATTGAATTTAAATTGTAATGTCATCGCAGTACTGTCTAATTTTGCTTGCTTCGCTGTCAGTAGAACAAACGAAAACTAAAGCGTGAATGACGCTCTGTATACGATTTTAACGCCCTATAAGTTCGGACACTTTTTAGCGCGGACCCGACGTCCATATAATTGTAAGTCGATGCATTTAAATAAAAAAGTAATAACGTTAAATCCCTATCCTGTGGAATTGATTTGGCGCAGATACGCCCTTTTTACCAATACTACATACGCGGATTTGCACTATCCTCGACAATATCCTGTAGAACGCCAATAAGCAGGTAACTCTACGGTGGTCTTCAAGTCTCCGTAGCTTCGCCACTACTAATTCCGAGTCACCTATAAGCCTTTTATACAGGCATTATGCTATGGTTACAAAATTTCACTTCCATTTCGTTTCGCAGTTAGGTATGTAAATTGAGTCTAATTAACTGGATTTAATCATTCCAATACTCACCTTTAACAAAAGTTGGTAGTCGTTAATTCGTTGTATAGGAAGCTTCAGATGCTCCGCTAAACCTTTATCGTCCCCGAGTTTATCCGCTACAGCCTGAAAAAGAAACATTATTATAATTTAATATGTTTATGCAATAACAAAACATGGCCTTATAAGACTATTAATATATTGACCAAATAGAAAGTTTCTCTTCGACCCGGTGGGACTTGCACCTCCGACCATGTTGCACCGTAGCATTGCTCTGACCAACTGAGCAACAGGTCAAGTTACCGAGTTGTCGAAATTCTCCTATGCACTTTTTGTTTTAGATCTCCGCACTGGCTTTCGGCATTCATCGCCACTAGTGTCACATCTAGTGCAACATTCTCACCGCAGCCTGTATCTTTACTGACGTAGATGTCGCTTTTAGATCAAGTGTATCATTGAGATTTTTTGTGAAATAGCTCCACTTTTTTTTATAATTATTAATACAACGATCGAACACATAGAAATTACATTCTTGCAGTCTCGTGTCTCGAAAATGCCAAGAAATTGTCGAGCCTCTCAAACTTTTCGAGACCGGGATGCAAGGTAAGCGACACACCTGTCCATAACAGTTGCAATGCCACTCTGAGCTTTAAATCACAAAGCAAAGATTTGAGGGGCACGCCACCGCGCCCATCACCCTGAGACTTAACTGACAAGTCAAATATGCCTGTAATTTCACCAACACCCTTACTCTCTCAAACCGGAACGCAATAATGCTTACATTACTGCTTGGCGGCAGTACAATACATTTTTTTTAATAAATAACACGCGCTTGGCCACAATCTCACCTGTTGTTAAGCGACGTTAACGATGTGACTGACGATGGTACGCGTTTGCCTAAAAAATGCTTATTCTAGCCTTGAATAGCCCCAAATTATACTTTTCGGGAAACATAGATAGAGTATTCCGTTCCTTTGCCGTACGCATCAGAAAGGAGAAAGCGAAGCGCTTAGGCTCGAGCCTAGCGCGGTCAGTTTTTAGGGGCGGTCAATCGTGACAAAGTATTTCACTGATTGACTCACAAGAAATAACTCAAAGTACCTAAATATTTTAAAGGCTCACGCACATTATGGCGGGCCGCACTGCACCGCATCATTTAACAATAATCTTCCTAAATCACTTCCGTAGGCACATTTTATGTACAACATATAGATATGTCTACCAGTAGGTATAAATGATGAGTGCTGAGAAAGGAGCGCTGGTACTGACTGCAAATCCGCCACGCTCCGGCTAAGGTGAAACTAAGTTGAAAAGTTGTGCGCACACTCCCCGAAATGTATCCGATAGAAAACCGATAAGCAGGCTACTTTTCTGCGATGGTCGAGATGTTGTAGCTTCGACTCCACAAGCGAATTGTTGTTAATAAGTCTCTGCTTCTCGCTCCACCGAGTCCAAGGCAGCTAACTGGTAATGGGCAGGGCCGTCCCAAAGGTGGCTTTATACATACAGTACTGCTTCTAAATACGAGCCTAATAAACATGTTTGCCTTAAATAAAACAGAAAGCTAAAAATCGCACTTATAAGTCTGCTTTTGTAGCTTTCGCTGCGTTACTAACCGAGTTTTCTTCATCAATAACTGAAACGCATCGGGAAGACCTCGTCAAAACAAATAATATGAGCCTAAATACAAGGTGGCTGCTGTATTCTGTTGAGGACTACCTCTCATATGCCAGCCATTTCCGTCACCAGATTAGCTCTAGGTCACCATAACATTTTATTTTTGTTGGAATTACATCTATATGCCAAGTTTCATTGAAACCGGATAAGAGTCTATAAAATCTCAACTGTCTTTGGTTGATTCTGCATAACAGTCACAGTGCTGAACCACTTTGGAAAACAATATATAGTAAAATTGAGGATATGCACTGATTACAATACAGTGTGAAAATAGCATTCCTAAAAATTTTCACGATAGAAAAAAAAAACACAAACTTACCTCGATATTTTACAAGGAATACTTTAGTATCTATTGAATATACCAAATATTTTTTTAAATATCAACCGAACTAAATAGAACACGTATAGAATACCATATACATTATATAAATGGCTATAATTCCGTTTGTAAAAAATAAATTCTGAAATAAAGCCATTGTCCCTATCGCTCGGCCCAAGCAAAATGAACCGTATTAGCACGGGAAAAATTTTAATTCGACCTGATGTAGTATCTACTGTTAATGGAAAATGAGTGAAACTCAATTAACTGGACTCATCCCGTAATTTCCTGCTCTTGGAATATTTCCTACAAATTTGAATGGTACCACTGAGATACCCTGTTTGCAACAAAAAAAGAATCATCAAAATCGGTTCACAGGTATCTAATATCCGAAGTCATCGCGTAATATACATGAAGAAAAATACAGTCGAATTTAGAACGTCCTCCTTTTTTAAATTCGGTTAAGAAAATGAACGCAATACATTGTGAAAAACAACAAACGAAAGTCGTGTATTTTTCAAGCAAAATATTTTGTGTGTCCAAAAGTATTATTTTTAATCTACGACCAACAAATCTTTTGTCGTGTGCTAGGAAAGATATGAAAACGTTATTCGCGGCCTTTGCGCTTTATTTAGATCAGAATTTGTGTTTACTTCACGTTCTGAATATTAAATTTTAATATGTATTCCGGATTCACCTTAGCCTTGGCAAAGATCGTCGGTGTCGTTAATAAAAGTCAAAATGTGGGTCATTGTTTCATCATGAAAATAGCTATATTCTTGGTCAGGCAACGATTTTAATAGACCACTAAATGGTCCGGTAAATAACGACTGTATAACAAGAACGAACGTGAAGAACTAAAGCATTAAACTTAACACTCTGACCACTGAATACCTTTGGGATTGTATATATTTTTCTTATTGCAACAGAATTAGATTTAAATTTGATAGTTTTCGGTCATTCCCGGGCTGTTTGGAGTGTTCATTACCTAATTTCCGTGGCAATTTTTATTATTTAAATATTCAAGTATATTATCGTCTAATTATTAAATAATATTTCACGATACAATACACGAATATTAAATAATATTGCACGATTAAGAACCGAATATTTAAATAATGAAAATTACCATGGAAATCAGGTAGTGAACGCTAGTGAACGTTCGATCTTTGTTTTTATAGCTATAACAAACTAGTGGAGTTATTTCATAAAAAAATTGAATACCATGCATTGACTTACAATTATATGGACGTCGGGTCCGCGCTAAAAAGTGTCCGCACTTGTAAGGCGCTAAAATCGTATACAGAGCGCCAAACTCCGCTTTAGTCTTCATTTGTTCTACTGACAGCGCGATACTGCGATGACATTACAATTTAAATTTCGAATAGGTAGACTTGGGACATTTTTTTCGTGGTTTTTGTATTAGACCCGTCGTCCATTTATTTGTAAGTCAATGATACCATGCTAGTAAAACATTATGTTATTATAGCGACATCTCTAATAACTGTAAAGTAATCTAGCTGAGCGAAGAATACTTTCACAGATTTCTCACAGATGGCGCTACGTCAAAAAAGTCGTTAAAAATCAAAAACAAAGATCTGCAATAAGCACATAAAAATATTGTACGATCTGCTGGTTCGTTCAGTGGCTCAGTTCAGCTCAGTCCAGCCGGATCAAAGGAATTTTTCTTAGTGTTCAAAGCACTTGTTTGGGGAGCAGTGGCCAACATACTTGGTGGTTCCAAATGCTGTCGTTAGAGAAGCGACGGGACATTTTAGATATGATGTTTTCATATAAATTATTAAATAATCAAATTAAATGCAGTTCAGTTCTAAGCCTTATATCATTTAATGTTCCCCGCAGACTACCTAGATTTCCCATAAAGCCTCTTTGCAAGTCTTTTCGCAGGACTATTTTATACAATGATCACAACCATTGACTTACAAATAAATGGACGACGGGTCTAATACAAAAACCACGAAAAAAATGTCCTAAGTCAACCTATTCGAAATTTAAATTGTAATGTCATCCCAGTATCGCGCTGTCAGTAGAACAAATGAAGACTAAAGCGGAGTTTGGCGCTCTGTATACGATTTTAGCGCCTTACAAGTGCGGACACTTTTTAGCGCGGACCCGACGTCCATATAATTGTAAGTCAATGATCACAACGCAATGATTGATTTACACTACTTCTCTGCAGTAAGAACCAAGCGCGAAATGTCGTCACCTTCCTGAAACTCTGTCACCTAACTTCTTTTCTATGTTTTAACTTAGTCTTAAGATATTATTAACACTATTTGCTTTTGTAAGTGATTTATATAGGTAGTTCAATTACTGTTTACGCTATTCTTTTTGTAAGTTTATTTTTACTCTGCAATAATTTATTGTGCATGTAGTGTCAGTCTATAATAGACTGTGCACTTAGTTTTAAGTTTTTTTTTGCATATACGTTTTCTGATATTTTCTCAATGGTTGACTGACCAAATAAATAAACAAAATTAATAAAAAAACCTGTGTTTTTTGTTTTGTTCTTACTAAGTGACTGGAAGAACAATTTGTGTTTCTGGTGTTAGCGCTGTGCCTCTCCGTAGCAGCTGCAGAGACACTCAGAGTTTTAAGTCGCAAATATCTGAGGGACACTGCCACTGCTCCTACATAATTTGAAGGCTCTTAGGTGCCTGTAATTTCTCCAGCACTCTTACCCTTCAAAACTGGAACGCGCTCATGCTCACATTACTGCTCGGCGGCAGAAACAGGTAACGTGGTAGTACTGCTCAGGACGAAATCTACTGCTGCTAAAATGTGGAACGGAATTACACGATTTAATTCTGTGTTTTCATTTCCATCACCTGGGGATTAGACGTAGCCTGGAGTTCCATCCGTATGTTGTGGGTATTCCAAGGATACGCACAAAGCGTTACGCTTTCACATTCATGTGGCAAACGGCTATAGAGTGGAATTCCCTGCCTGCAAACTTATCCCATGGACGCTTTATGTTTGGTCTTTTCAAGGCGAGAGTGACGCTTATTTTTTCTATAAATAAAGGATAGCAATATTTTTGTATTCCAGGCTTAGAAGAATAAAAATGCAAAGTGGTACGAGTGGTGTCCGGGAGTGAAGTTTCAGCTGA